GAAAATCGGAAAAAAATGTTTGCTGGGTAGTCGGCAGGGGGTGCCGATTACTAGAAAAATATCATTTTTGACCAATTTCACCAAAACTTGAGAAAAGTATTAAAAAATGATCCAAAAACTACTCAATTAAAAAATAGTTTCGAGTCAGTAGTTGCTTTTATTTGTGTTTTTTCTAAATTAAGTAGGTTTTTTACATCAGCTATTCGACGTTTTAGATAGCGGTGGCATTTTTGAAAAAAAAAATGCTGGCTATCTAAAGGAAAAAGATCAATTCACAAATTCCAAATATAAGAAAAGTACTTTTTTGTTTTCTTATTAAATTTCATTTTTATTTTATGATAATTAAATAAAACGCTATTTAAAAACGAAATTAATTTCAAATTCTAGTAATATAGCATTGTTTTATACTATTTGAAATAAAAAAATATACAAAATAATATTTTTTTTACTGAAATACCATATGCCGACTACTGGCAAATAGACAGGCCGAGCATTGGAAAATGGTGCCGACTACTGGCAAAAAACTACTATTTTAGTAAAATTGCAAATTTTGCCAATTTAATAAAAACAAATTCAATTTTTGTTTATTATTTCGAAAACTAAATAAAATTTGTAATCTGAACAACATTATTTTTTAACAATTGAAAGATTTCACTCAGAATGTTGAAAGATTGAAAAATCGAAAATCTTAAAAGTGCCGACTACTGGTACATTTACCCTACTATTTTTTGTGTGTCTTTTTCTCTTCGGCCTTTTTCCCTGTTGTCGCCTTTAAGTAGCATAAGATTTTGTTTAAGGCAGAACATGTCAAAATAATAAATATTATACCTACACAAATTTCAGAATAAAAAGTTGAGAATACATAAAACGCTTTTTTGGCTGGCTTAAGTCATCGGCTGGCTTCTTCGGAAAGGAACAAAGGAGCGTTGGGGCAAAATTGAATAAAGTCAACATAAAAGTCCTTTGTTTCTTCTACGAAGAAGCCAGTCGAGTTGAAAGCTAGATGCCATTCATATACGAAAGATCGCCATTTAATACCGTATTACGCACTCATTTCATTTTTAATATTTTCCTTTCAGAATTCGAAACAATAAAAAATGTACGCTTCAATATAGTATGTCAAAATGAAAAAAAAAGGTTGCTCAACTACAAAGAAAGTAGAAAATGCAACTCTATGCTGGAGTCTTAGAGTGCCAATTAGACTTTTAAGTATGCAACAGTTTGCTTTGTTTATTTTTATTTTTTTAACAAAATTCTTAAATTGGGGAAAACCAACGAAAAAGGAATGGGATTTTGGAGTCATTCCACAAGATTGCATCTAAAATAATAGGACAATAAATTTTTATCCTAAAATTTTACAATATGTTGACCAATAACTTTGAAAATGTGCATTTGTTTTGCAACCGAATTTGAAATAATTTCAAATTATTGTATTTTTTATTCAAAACAATAAACACACATATATACACAAAATGTGTATATGTTTTGAAAGAATAAGGCTGGAAATACATAAAGCGCATATTTGGCTGGCTTCTTCGTAGATGAACAAAGGAGACTAGGGCCAAAATCGAACTAAGTCAACCTAAAACTCCTTTGTTCATCTACGAAGAAGCCAGCCGATGACTTAAGCCAGCCAAATAAGCGCTTTATGTATTCCCAGCTTAAGGGCATCAAAAGAAAAAAATTGTATTTAGGGGGTAGATTTGTTCTACCTTCTGTAATTGTGCCATGGGTACAATGAAGACAAGCTTGTAATGCTAGAATTACTATCAAAACAATAAATAAAAAACCAAACAACATGTTGCATTAATTTGAACAAAAAATAATTGAAAGCCGCGAAAACGGATTGAAAATTCCTTTTCGAAGTCATGTTCTGTATATAATTAAAGGTTCTTCGCTACAAAAACTGTAGATTTTGTCGATGCATACGTTGCAATAAGCATTTTGAAAACATCCGAATTTTAATGTTTTTTGAAAAAAATGTGTATTATTGAAAATAAGAAAATAAAAAAGTTAAAATCAACCACGATATGCACGGCATTTATGTGCTCCTAAGGAAGCATGTTAACACACGATGTTAATCCACTGAATCATGGTAGAAAAATACAGTTAGATGCATCCATGGTACAATGAAGAGAAGGTAGGTCAACTTTGAAAAAATTGCAAGTATATAGGTCTACCTGTTTGGCTTGTAATGTCAGAATTAGTATCAAAATAATAAAAAATCAAACAACTTGTTGTATTTATTTTGAATAAATAATTGAAAACCGCGATAACTGAATGAAAGGTCAACACTTCTTTTCAAAATCATGTACTATATATCTCTAAAGGATTATTTCGCTACAAAAACTCTAGATTTTGTCTATGCATACGTTGAAATAAACATTTCGAAAACACCCGAATTTGAAGTTTTCTGAAAAATTTTTTGATATTGAAAAAATACACATACACATACATATGGTATCATAGCCCTACCTTGATATCATTGTACCATGGATGCATCGACACAACTGCTGGGACAATAAACTGTCAAAACAGTATTGCAATTGAAATTTTTGAATGAATAATTATTTAAATTTGTAAACATTATTGACATATTATAATAACCTCCGATTGACGTCGTATAGAAAAAAACATACAAAAATCTATTTATATTAAAAAAAAAAACACATTTTAAAATTTTAGACATATCAATGATCCCAAATGTCTACCTATATTCATGGTACAATAAGGAGGTAGAACAGCTTCATAAAACTAGAGAAATACAGCCCGAGGCAATGCCCGCTTTCTGTCAGAATTACTCAAAATTATCAGCCAGTTCCACGATATCGAAAGAACACGTTCGCACAACTTTTACACGACAAACAGCTGATTTCCGTTCCACTAAAATCCATCAGAACGAAAATTTGCACGAAAATCAAAGCGAACGAAAACGTAAGCGTTTCAGTGTAATTTTGCGTTCCACTATCTTTTTTCTTTCGTACGCATGCGAACACAAATGTCAAAATCAGTCACTTGTGTGTTTGCTGTCGTATGATAACAATTAAGGAAAATTGTTTTAACATAAACATTGCTTGATTTAAAATGGAAACAAAAATGTAAGTAAAAATAATAGATGCAATTTAATATGTGAACAACAAATATATTTTTTTTATTTTCTCAATTGCAGCACGAAAAAATCATCAACTACACAGCTGCGGTCACTAGTTGAGTATATGGAGGAGAATCTGAGTTCGCCAGAGGAGTGCCAATTTTTGGAAGCAGCAGAAGAAGTTTTAAATCTGGGCGGATTTGGGTAGTTCTGTAACCGGGCACCCACTTCACTTCCATCATACTTCCTTCGACACACGAAAATTGGCCACAAACCTAGAAAAAATCATTTTTTATTATTTCAAAAATGTAAAAATACAATAATACTTACTGGTTGTTAGGTACTTCAAATAAATTCGAAGCATCTCTTAAATGCCTCCGTGGCACATTTTGAACCTCCTCCACATCATCCATAAAGAATAGGGCTTCGGAAATATTCATTTTTTTTATTTTTTAAGAACACAATCACTAGAATTTTATTTTGTTTGTTTATTTACAATTTGTTTGTTTACAACTGAACTGTCAGTTGAGACAGAGCCACTGTTGCTTTTTTGCGTTGCGCGATTAATTTTTTCAAAAAATATTTAGCAACACTGAATCACGTAAGGCTATGCGAAAGAAAAAACGAAAGTTAGTGGAACGCATTCTTATACGAAAGTGAGTGAGTAGCCTCCGTTCGCACAAATTTTCTTTCGAGATCGTGGAACAGGCTGTATATGCAACAAGTAGTTTTCATTTAATTGAAATTATTTGTTCACTTTCAAAATGAGTCAAATAGCGCAAAAGATGAAAGAAATGCCTGGATGTTCTCTCAAATGATATGCATTTTTTTAACAATTTTAACAAACTTAAATATTTTTCAGAACAGTGTGGCTTGTTTGTTCGGGATACTGTAGTATTTTTTTGTTGCAAAATGGTCAGGCTTTATCCCATTATTGTTGTTTTTATAAAAACAACGTTTGTTTATTAGTGGAGAACGATGGTAATGTTTACCAGGGGGTAAGGCAGGGAATACCTTGGTTTCGGAAAAAATTCAATTCCAACATTGATTAGACATTTCATTGTCCCAGCAGCTGTGTCGATGCGACTTTAAAGAAACAAGGGAAATGCAACCCTGTACCGGAGTCTTATAGTGTCAAATATATTTTTAACCATGCAACGATTGGTTTTGTTTATTTTACTTCTTTTCACAAAATTAATATATTGAGGAAAACTCACAAAATATGAATGAAATATTGGGCCCTCTCCCCAAAATTAAATCCAAGATAGAGGGACAATGTTGTTTTATCTCAAAATAATACGTCTTGTTGCCCGTTGACGTGGACAATATGCATTTTATGTTTCATCTAAATTTGAAATAATTTCAAATTATTTTCTTTTTAATTCAAAACAATACACACACATATAAATGCTGTGTATTTGTTTTGACACATGGCAGAAGAATACAGGTAGATGCATCAACGCTTGGGAGCATTGATATGTAAAAAAATTTTAAATGTTTTTTTAAATATAAGTAGATTTGTACATGGTACAATGATATCAAGGTAGGGCTATGATACCATATGATTTTAATTTTTTTATTTTCTTGGCCTAATATGTCATCTTTATTTTTTATGTATGTGTTTTCTTTTCAATAACAAAAAAAAATGTTCAGAAAAAATTCAAATTCGAGTGTTTTCAAAATGTTCATTTCAACACATGCATCGAAAAAATCTAGAGTTTTTGTAGCGAAATAATCCTTTAGTGATATATAGTACATGATTTTAAAAAGAAGTGTTGACCTTTCATTCAGTTATCTGACATGAAATCCCTAATTTTTTTTTCATGTTCCTCTCTCCATCCATCTTCGTAGCTGATTTTTCTGGATTCCTTTTTCACCCCATATTTGCAGTGAGCACTTGTCAAAATGACACTGACACAACACATGTAAACAAGAGGAGGAATAAAGAAATTTTCACTCAAAAAAAGATCAGAAAATATTGTAAAATTGCCTCAAATCCGAAGAAAAAACTGTGAATCACTTAAAGTTATAAATAACGGGGTCGGTGGAAGAAGTTTTTAATAGAATTCAACAATTGTACTGTTTTTATTGCATAAAAACATCAAAATATTGTTGTATAAAATAACGAGAAAAAATGAATGAATGAATGAAATGAAAAAGTGAAATTTCAGGCAAGGCAAGCAATTAAATCATACGAATCAGTTTCAAAGGAAAAAGTTGGGCAAGCAAGTGCAAACGACGATTATCAAAAGTCAAAAAGTGTTGGCCAACCGCATAATGAGTTACACAGAAAATTTACAGAAATATGTTGATAATTTGTGGGAATAGTTGGCATAACTCTGGGAAATCTGGGAGAAGTAAGTGCAAGAAAGAAAAAAATCGTTGAATTGAGTGTGTGGATAGTCGGTGTTGTGAGTGTGTACGTGCGTGTGTGTGTTGTGTTGTGTTGGAGTGATACGCTGCTGCTGTGTTTGCGGAAGAGGTGAGAAGCTGTTGCAAACTCCCCCTCCGCAGCTGATGGTGTTTAGCCGTTTAACGAACGCCAAGGAGTCTCGGATTACAGCAACAACAATAGCAGAGCAAGTGTAGGAGAAAAACACATCTCATACAACAGCGACTAAGACGACAGCAGCAACAACAGATAGACAGTCAGACCGACAGACAGACAGCAGCCAATACGTCGGCACAGCAAAACAAGCCAAGCGAGTGAACGAGCGAGCAAGGAAGCAAGCGACAAATAGAAAGACATAACTCAAGGTTTCGACTTTGGTGTGTTGTTTACATTCTTTCCACGGGAGGAGAAGGTGCGGTGGAGGTGGTGGCCATTGACAAGATTCAAAAGCATTTCACATTTTCAGTTTCTATTTTGATTTCCTAGTTTGGCAATGCCTGGGCGTAAGCCATGGGTTCTCAGACCTTGGAAATATTACGTCAAGGCGTCTGGGCCTCTCTAACTGGCGGTTGGTTCTATGACCCGCATCAAAGTGTCTTCTGCAACATTGTCCACTTGTATTTGTGGCTGTTTCTGCTGTGTACACCGTTTGTGGCATATTTGTATTTTCCGGGAACATGGCTGACATGGTGCATCTACAGCATCCTGACCAGTTTGACGGTGTTGCTGCTGAAGGTGGCCAATATGGCATTGCATCGTTTGTACGATCGAGCCCAGTCAATGTCAGAGGCGAATATAAAGCAACACTTTTTCAAGGTTACCAAGGAAACATCGGCCGAAAGGTAGGTGACCTACATATTGAATGCGAAAAAAAGTGTTCATTATGAGGCTAGTGCTATAATAGTACGTCAATTGTTCTGATTTGTTTATATGTGTATATCTGCTCTCTTTACCCCCTGCCTATTCAAAATTTGCCGCTGCTGTGTGTGTCATCATTCATGACGACGATGGTTGGTTTTGCAGAAATCGAGACAATGAACCTGGCATTGAAATGAAGGTGATACATGAGGATGGGGAGGTGGCCACCGATGATATGGTTGCTTCGGTGGAGAAGGCCATCAATGAAATAAGCGCAGAGAACAGTATGGTGTCCATAGAGAATGGAAATAGTATTATTGGTAAGAAAGGTTTTCGCATTTATGGAATGAATGGATGGCATGTAAAATGAATTATACTGGTAGCAATTCGGAAGAATCAATTTTTTTGTGAGACGAATGGGATAACCGTCACAGTGAATTGTGTGATCTGCAAGTGGAGAGCAGATAAACGCCAGAGGAGCATGCGAGCTTAACGTTGGCTGTAGTTTATTTCAAACTAAAAATTTTGGGTACTGAAAGCTTAAAGTATGTCACAGGCAATGGTGAGACCTACTAGTGGCTAGTCACGATATATGTAGATAGCCAAGCTGCCCTTAAGACTCTCAAATTCGGCGTAATTAGGGAAAGATGGAAGTTAATGAATGGCACTTGAATGCATTAAACAGACAGCATTTCCCGGGAAATAAAACTTTATGTGAAATGGGACTGAAATGGACCTACAAATTGGACAGTTCTGGTCTATAAAGGCAACAAAAAAGCTCTCATATCAATATTTGTTAAAGTACTCGGACCATTTTTGCTACTTCATTTACGAACTCAGGTGAAGTCTGCAACTGGAGTCGGAGACTAACTAGCACATTCATTTCTACCACCCTTATGTGACCCCAAAACTATCTCAGCATCATTCTATACCAAATATACTATTGAGTATACGTTCCGTTCTTGCCGGGTTAAACCAGAAACTAAAACTTTGTCTAGCTGCCATCCATTTAAAGATTTTCAAGACCAATAATTAATGTAATTTAAATGCTACTTTTCTTCTTCCTGTAGATTTGAAAGTTGATGTACACCGCAAAAACAGTTCCGAATCCATAGAGCTAATGTTCTATGCCCCATCCATGATCTCAGGCAATAGCCAGCAGGATCAACAGTCTCTGGTCGGCGCAACAAGTAATTCAAAATCAATACGTTCCTCGCATACGATTAACAATAGCAGCATCAGCACCAGTAACAATAACAACAACACATCTTCGACACCCATTAATGATCCACAAGCCAAATATATTAGTGTTTATCCCAAAGACAACAGTCCGGTAGCAAGTTCGTATGCTAGCAATAGTCTTGTGGCGAGTGGGGGTGGTGCCACAGCCTTGGCTAGTGCTGGCCCAAGGCCACCTCATTTAGTACGTAAATCGTCGGAAATTGTACGTGGTAGCCACCAGCGCAGACGATTGGAACGGCAATCAAGTTTGGATGCAGCTGCCGAGTCTGCAATTGTTGCCAAATTAATACAAAGGCAAGTGTCGGAAGCAAGTAAGACTTCGACGAGTGGTGGTGGAGCAGCTGGAAATGCAGAGAAATGTGATAGTTTTGTACACGCACAAGTTTCAAAGAGCGGCTCGGTAACTCAACCGACAGCATTTTCCACAACAGGGGCACAGCAATCCCATCAGCAGGCACAACGATCAAATACAACGAGTTCAACACTGAGCGTCATTCCTGCCTCCAACTCAAATGCCACCACTTCTGCACTGAAAACTTCACGTTTACAAAGGCATCGTTCCTCGGAAACACATGATGAGCGACTGAAACAACAACAACGAAGTGGTGGGACAATTGCTGTCAGCAGTATTGGCACAAGTGGTCATAGTGGTGGGGGTGGAGTGTTTCTCTCGATACATCATGAACATGGACGACATCATCCGCATCACCGTCATCACCATCACACGCATCGGCGGGGCGGTAGCGGAGGAGGTGCTCCCATGGCTAGTAGCAGTGGGTCCGTAGCAGTACTGGCCTCCTCCAGCATAGGGGCCAGTGAAAGTTTTGATGTGGATGATTTGGAACTGGGCTTAGGAGGTAGTGCCAATATTGTAACGCATGGCAGTCATCTCAGCAGCGATGGCAGAATGCGTGCTTTGCCATCCTGGATTTTGGGTATGAAAATTTGGAATCCTCCATATTTGAAAAGTCTATTAACCACGTTTTTTCCTTTTAGGTTCTTCCTCTGATGTATTCATTGAAGATGATAGCTTTACAAAATCCGACCTGGGCATAGAACAGCTAGACGACCGATCAACTGCCAATTCATCTCGAGCTGCTCTACTCAATTCTCATCCACACTCAAATCAATATAGGCTGAATCATCATTCTCAAACTTCATCGGGACGTGCCAATATTTCAAAGGATCCCATTTATACAATATCAGCCCTGCAACTTCATAAACGACCGCGACGGGAAGGAGCCATCAAAAGACGTAGACATTCAAATGCCACAACACTGTTTAAAACACCAAACGACAGTTCCTCGAATGTCGGCCAGTTGCCAAGCAGCACAACGACAGTGCGCCGCATCAAAAGCACAGCTTTAGAAGTGGCCTGCCCCCGACCATCTGTGTCGAATCTGTGTCCGCATCCAAATAGTGTGGAAGCCATAAACGGCCAACAGCAGATAAAAAATCCTCAAAACTCCCTCTTGCCACCTCCTAGTAAATGTTTAGTACGCAATCCCCACTTGAATTTGTGTCCCAAATTCGGTGGAAGCTTTGGCGGCAGCTCAACAAACAGTAGTTTAGATTTTGGTTCCACAAATGCTCTTATAGATCCGGTCTATGAAGGCAGGGATAAAATGAAACAGGAAAACAAACCGAAAAAAGATACCGATTTATCAGTAAACGACTCTGTGGAAAATGACGAAAACCCCATTGAACTGGCATTGGATGAGGATGACGCGTCAATGGGTGCTGTGGGTGGAGTGTGTCCTCATCATTTTCTTCATTCTCACCATCAGCATCATTCGCAACCGCAACAGCACCATCATCATTCACATCATCACAGTGCTGAGTCCGATGTTGGTCAAATATTGAATGATACCAAAGACAATGATGATGATGGCGATGAAGACGAAGACGACGGCGACGATGATGATGATGAGGGCGATGAGGATGATGAGAATGAAGTTGAGGATGAAGAATCCATCGATCCGCGACATGATACTACCGAAAGCAATGAAGATGATGACGATGATGAGTTCAAAGATTTCGACTATAATGTAGAGCACATACTGGAGGTTCTTGAACATACCCACAATCAACTGGATGATGATTTACGAGCCCAACAACAACTACAACAACAACAAGAGCAGCAACTACAACTGCAAAGCCAACAAAAAATTGCTCAAGGTTTATCGGAAATTAACAAAAGAAATAAGCCTGATAAACCACCTGTAAGGTCAACGTCACACGAAACACGCCATGATACCGTGGATGGAGACGACGGCGAAGAGGACGATGATGACGACGACGACGATAATGATGGTGCTCTAACCATGACCAGGGAACGTTTACATTCCACAGATTCGGAAACCGATAACAATGGCTCTAGATCACCGTTGTTAAACAATAAAAAGTGGGCCGTCACCTCATCCTCCTCCACCTCAAATTCGAACAAAGAGAAGACGAGCGAAAAGGCCCTGAGGGATGAAATTAAAAACGTACAAAAACAAAAACATTCCATTAAAAAGCATCAAGCCAGCATACAGGCTTTGAGTAATCCTGATGGTGAGGTGCAGCCACCAGCGGTTGCTGCTTCTAATACTGTCCCTCAAGCATTCCCACCTGCAGCTGTTATTCATAACCAACAACACCAGCAACCAAAAGGCAATGAGGTCGACTCTGGTTGTCCCTCCAGCGACTGCGAACAGATAAGTGCCAGCTCAAAAGATGTTCTACTCAATATTTCAAACGAGAAGGTGCATCAGGAGAAGCCGAGTAAATCGCGAGATGATTTTCAGGATAATGTGCCAACAACGACAAATGCCAATAATGGAGCTTCCTCTTCTAGCTCCAATTCGAATGCAAATGTGGGTAAACGATTAGGCGCCATACCAAAACTAGTGCAATATCGTGAGATAGACGAACGATCCGGGGGACAAGATAACCACCAGAATCCCTCCTGTTCCCATCACAGTTACAAACGGCATGCGGGTAATTGGAGTTCGGTAGCCCCCACTCAATCGAATCATGCTTTTGCTTCTGTTGCCGCTGGTCTCAAGGCAATTTCGCGCACCTCCTCCTCATCGAATAGTTCCCACAGTGTCAGTGCGGAGTCTTTTACAGCTGATATTCAGAAAATGTTGTGGTTAATGCACGGCGGTTCAGTAGACGATAGGGGCAGGCCCATTGAAAATCCCGAGAACCTAACCTCTTTGCCAACGTCTGTGAGTAGCGGCACTCAAGGCAACATGTCCAGTGCCCACTTGCAATTTTATCAGGATGCCTTGAAGGCCTTGAACTCAGCTTCCTCGGCTGAACGACTGGCATTAACCGAACGTTTGTATCATCGGGAACAATTGCTGAGGAGGAGTATGCGACAGAGATCAGCTGGCGATGCTGAATCCAATCATAGCAATGCTATCGAACAGTGGCCTTTAGATAGCAATGCAGCCATGTCTCACATCATGTCCGCCTCATCATCATCCGCAGCAGCTGCAGCGGCTGCTTCCAGAACCGCTGCTCCATTGACACAAGTAATGATTGATTCTCCCTCTTCTTCGACAGTACTCAATAACCGTAATGTCAGCAGTGCCACTACAGTCTCCCTGAAAGGTTTCATCCATGAGTTCATCAACGATGAATTGCGCAACATGGAGACCTCTCAGCGGATACAAGCTACGCCGCTAACGACGACCAACAATCGAGCAGCCATGGCTGCCATATTGAATGTGGATGGTGCCCATATAGATAACTATTGCGACTACTGGCGTCCCGCCTGCATGTTGACCTCCGACAAGCCAGCCATAACACCAAAATCGTTTTACAAATACCGCCTCAAATTAGGTTCCTATACACAGGAATTCAACATCTCAATGGATCGACTAGAGCTGATGGCGTTGTTTGATCGGGACATCCATTGGATACACATCCTGCTGTCTGTGGTACTTAGTGCCGCGGTGGCATATTTGGGTTCATCAATTCTACAGCTGAGCTATTACAAGGATGTGTTTGCATTTCTCTTTTGCGCTGTCATAGCCGGGTCACAGTATTCATTGTTGAAAAGTGTACAACCAGATGCAGCTTCTCCGATACATGGTTTTAACAAAACCGTGGCCTATTCACGAGCTATATATTTTTGCATTTGTTCGTCGTTGCTGCTATTTTTTCAAAATCTAAAGGAGGAATACGATGTGGAAGCTCTCCAAGGAGGGGAAATGAAGCAGTGGGTTTTCTTTGGAGTGGCCTTTTATCCGGCCCAAGTTAACAGCTTGGTTCTACAAGCTCTCTATATATTTCTGTTAAGTTTCCCGCTGATATTTTCGTTGGGCCTGTTCCCGCAGATAAATACATTTACAATGTATTTGATGGAACAAATCGATATGCATGTGTTTGGTGGCAATGCTGCCGGAAGTTTAATGGGTAAGTTGGTGGCAAATGTCCGAAAGAGAGGAGACGATTCATATAATCTTTTTTCCTTTGCAGGTTCCGTTCTTTGTGTTTTACGTTCAATATTGGGCGTTATGTTGCTCTATGGTCCCTTATATGCGGCGCTCAACGAAGGCAAAGGTACCCAGCACATTATTTTCTCCATATTTTGTGCCCTTCTTGTGCCCTTGGGTTATCACCTCTCCCGATCAGCTAGTGATTTTAGCCATATTTGGGCTCTTATGAAGCACTGCATTATGTCGACGTACCACGAAGATGATGATGAGTTGAGCACCGCCAGTACTCAAAAGCTAACTGCCGGTAAAACGAAAAGAGGTTCATCCAAGAAGCGTGAAAGGGAAAAGCAAGGTGTTGGTGGTGGTGAAAAAAGTAAACCCGGCGAAAATATTGAAATGTCTTCTTTGGAGAAATTGCAAAATGGTACAACTCCAAGAAATGAAACAACCGAGGAGCTGGAAGAAGCTGACGCAGAGGCCGGGGAGGAGGAGGAGGAAGAAACTGAAACCAATGAACTGTCGGAAGACAAAGATCCAATGACTGAGAAAAGAAGCAAATCGAAGGCATCTTCATTGGGTAGTAGTACTCAGACTTTGGGCAAAACTACCATGTCAACCAGTAAAAAGGCAATAACGGCTTCCAGTAGTTCCTGTAATACAAATTTAGAAACAGAAAATATAATGAAAGAAGTTGAGGAGGGGGTGACACCTTCCTCACTACAACTGCCACCGGTGATTAGAGAAAGTAAAGAAACAGAGTTGGTGGCCACCACTACTACCACCACCACCACCACAGCAGCAGCAGCATCTGCCGCTGGCACAACCGCCAAAGAAACTGACTTGGATAAAATGTCAACTACCTCGACCACAAATCCTGCTGAAATATCCACCTATACAGGAGTCATTCACAATGAAGCCGAGGCCAATGAAATCGATGTATTTACCATGAATTGTCCTGACAATGCAAATAGTGAGACCGAAAGTAATTCCGCCGATCCTTTGCCTAAAAAACTACAACACACCGTCTATACAAGGCTGAAGAATGATTTTGTGGTGACTGTCTTTTTGGCAGTGGTGGTCCTAGGTTTACACTGTAGCACTGTGTTCACGGTACTGCAGCCAGATTTGAATGTGGTACTTTATGGATTTACTGGAGCCCTGGGCTTCCTGTTGCATTACATTATACCACAAATGCGTAAACACATGCCCTGGCTGTGCTTTGCCAAGCCGCTGTTGAAGCAAAAGGAATATGGACGTTACGAAGTATCGAATGCGCCAAAGATTATGTGGTTTGAAAAGTTCTACATTTACTTGTGTTTGATTGAGAGAAATGTGCTGTTTCCACTGCTGGTTATATCCGCATTAACGGCCGATGCCACTGTGATAGCTGTAAAGTATGGTATTGCCTGGGGTTCGGTAATAGTGGCAGTGTGTGCTTTAAAATGTGAGTGGAGATAGTTGAATATTAACTCTCCGTTTCGCGAATTATTTTTTAATAATATTTTGCTCTTTGGTTTTCAGTTATTCGCAATGCTTATTCGGATCCCACAAACCAGTACCTGATTGTTATGTTCACTGTTCTATTCTTTCGTGTGGATTTCGCGATGGCATCCGAAACATTTCTAATCGACTATTTCTTTGTGTCGTTGGCTTTTCGAAAATGTTGTGATTTCTTTTTAAAGGTATGTTTTGCATTAAAATTATTATCCAAATGGATTGGTGACCAGATTTCTTTTCTTTTTCAGCTTCAATTTATTGTTACATATATTGCACCCTGGCAAATAACATGGGGCTCTGCGTTCCATGCTTTTGCCCAACCATTTAGTGTGCCGCACTCGGCTATGCTCTTCCTACAGGCAGGCATATCGTCACTCCTGTCCACACCGCTTAATCCATTTTTGGGTAGTGCAATCTTCCTTACATCCTATGTAAGGCCCATTAAGTTCTGGGAAAGAGATTACAACACACGCCGCATTGACCATTCCAATACTCGTTTGAGTTCACAGCTGGAACGTGATTTGGGAGCAGATGATAATAATTTGAATTCCATATTCTATGAACATCTAACGCGTTCTCTGCAACATTCATTGTGTGGCGATTTGATAATGGGTCGCTGGGGTAATGTCAATCAGGGTGACTGTTTTGGTAAGCAATTAGTGGAGTTATCAAGACACCTTGTTCATTTGAAGTAATGCTTTCTCCTTCGACTTGTAGTGCTGGCTTCGGATTATTTAAACTGTCTGGTTCACATCATTGAGTTGGGTAACGGCTTGTGCACATTTCAAATGCGTGGTTTGGAATTTCGTGGAACATACTGCCAGCAGCGTGAGGTTGAGGCCATTACCGAAGATGTGGAAGACAATGAAGGCTGTTGCTGCTGTGATCCGGGGCATTTGCCACGCATGCTAAGCGCCAATGCGATGTTTTCTACACGTTGGTTAGCCTGGCAAGTTGTGGCATCGCAATATGTTGTGGAAGGTTATTCCATATCGGATAATTTGGCCAGCACGACTCTTCAGGTGTTTGAATACAGAAAAGTTCTCATTACATACTATGTGAAGGTAAGTTCGGTTATCAATCACGTGTTTCCTGTGAATATATTCACTTTTTTCTCATGCAGAGTATTATCTACTATGTTATCAAAAATCCTAAACTCGATGAATGGCTCAGTTCCACTGTCATCCAAGAAGCACTGCAACACACCCTCAGTCGTCAATTTGTGGATCTGGATCCAATTTTTAATTTCAATCTGGACGAAGACTTTGATTTTCGTGCAGTTGGCATAACTCGCACGAGTTTTTGTTACGTCTACCTGAGTTGGCTCAACTATTGTTATGACAAGCGCAAGGAAAGTTTAAATCCCACACCAACGGCGTCCAGTGGACCAAATCAAAATCCTACTCCCACCGCTTCACAGGCTGGTATTACAACGCAACAGCCAACGGCTGCCGTCTCCACAAGTACCATCGCCAGTACACCGAATCTCTCGACAGCTCAACAAAAGTCACAATCACAACAGCAGCTAAGAATACGTCCACAAAAGAGTGCAACTATGTCGGGTAGTAATGAAGTCGTTGTAAATTCTGTGGAACAAATGGCCACATCACACTCGCTGGCAAATATATCGCGTCAGGCATCGGAAAGTGCTCCGGGCCTGACATCCACATCGACACCTTTAACGCGGTCTAGCAAATCGGCTCCCTCCGGCAGTAAACATTCATATCAGAAGAGTGATTGTTCTCCTTCGGCCAGGCCAGAAGGCAGAGCAGCCTCCGCAGAGCCTTCTCGTGGTTCATCCTCGGAGAAACCTCCTCCCATTAAACTTAAAGTACCTTCAATTGCCAAGGACTCGCCTATTGTTTCATTATGTTTGGCTCTAAGCCTTTTGGCCCGGCGATCTTTGGCAACAGCCTCGCACAGTTCGATGACTGGAGTGGAGTTCTTTCTGCATGGTTTGCATGCCCTGTTTAAAGGTGATTTTCGAATAACATCACCGCGAGATGAATGGGTGTTTGCCGACATGGATCTGTTGCATGCCGTTGTGGCTCCAGCTGTTAAAATGGCTTTGAAACTGCAACAGGATCACATCTCAAATCCGGATGAGTTTCGAGACCCAGATGTTCTATACGAAGCCATCGATACAAGTGCCAAGGATTTGGTTATTTCTCATGAAGCGGATCCTGTTTGGAGGAGTGCAGTTCTGCGCGGTGCTCCCAATTTACTGGCGCTGCGTCATGTCATGGAAGATGGTTCGGACGAGTATCGTATTATACGTCTAACCAAACGTTTCCTCACCTTCCGTGTCATCAAACTGAACAGGGAATGTGTTCGTGGTTTGTGGGCTGGGCAGCAACAGGAGTTGATCTATTTGCGTAATCGTAATCCTGAACGCGGTAGCATTCAAAATGCCAAGCAAGCCTTGCGTAACATTATTAATTCCAGTTGTGATCAACCCATTGGATATCCGATTTATGTTTCACCACTGACTACCTCTTATGCCGATACCAATGATCAATTAAAGAAGGTTGTGGGTGGACCCATAACACCGGAGGCAATTAAAACGAATATTTTAGATTGGTGGCATCATATACGGGAAAAGTGTCGACAGGGCTGTAGTTCAGGTTCCTCCATGGAGACAACTACTCACCTGGGTTTGCCGTCGGGTGCCTGTTCCAATTCCGGCGAAAGTGGGGATCTAAGACCAATGTATATATCTCCCCCCATTTATAATACACTCACCGCCAGTACAATGTTCAGTCGAGCCACAGCAGCAACCGGTGTGCCGGGGGCCACTTTGAGTTCTCAATTTGGCAGTGATGGTCTATCCTCTATGCGGAGTTCCATGAATGTAATGAAGCCCTCCTCTACCACCCTGCTGGCTGGTCTACTCAACCGTGAACAGGAAATCTTACGTGAGTCTCGCACAAACAAGCAACTGTTGTCTTCTTCTTCGGTGCGCAGTTCATCGGAACGGGAACGCAGAGCAACACTGCCCATAGCCAGTACTAGTTCGGTTCTGCCGGAGGTAATCAAGGATTCTGATGATTCGTCGCAGACCTTGGACAAAGATGTATCTAGTGATAATATGGCTGGGGCTGCGGGGTCGCTGGTGGCCGGAGTAAATAATACGGTAAACAGTGGTAGCCCACGTTACACAAAAATCTATTGTTCCTCGGGCAATCTGGGGATAGGTAATATAATTACCACTCCCGGTGATTACCCGCGCAAAACAAAAGGTCCCATTTGTTTAACGGCTGCTGCAGCTGGTGTTGGCAGCATGAATTGTGCAGGCACTACGACATCGACAGAAAATGGTTTAACGTTGGCAGGAGGATCAGCAATGGGGGCAGAACAACAGGGGGCAACCACAACGGGTTCCGGGACATCTTTTAGCCGTGCTAGTACAAGTGAAGTGGCTCAGCCACGATTTGCCTTGTATGAAAAAGTGATAATAGTGGATGAAAGAGAGGTAAGTGTGAAGGAGGATGAGGGAGAAGGGGGGTGGATGGATATAATATTAATGCGAGTTTTTTCTTTCAGATTTTCCACAACATTGATCAGTGCCGACGTATTGTGTGGCCATTTGAAGCCCTGCGCCAAAAGGGCGGTCGTCTGTCATGGGATGGCTGGGAACCACGTGCCGGCATGGTTGGCTACGTTATTCACATATGGCGTCCAAATCATCCCAACAAAGTGTGCCGAACTCCCCTGAATCGTGATGTCTATTTGATTGAAATTGGTGAAAACTATGTACCAGTTACGGCCAGTGGCTTGCGGCAATACAATCAGGCCATGGATAGTGTACAAAAAGAAATGGAAACATCAAGACGAAACTCTTTGCAAAGAGAAATGGCTGAGCTGAGGCAACAACAGGTCGATCGAGGTCTTACACCGATATTGGGTAGCAGTTTAGAATCCCCAACATCCCTACTAGCCGAGGGAACACGTGGTGGCAGTGGCAGCGGTAAAAGTGGAGGTGGTGGTATACAGGCGGTGAGTAGTAGTAGTTCAGAAGATGAAAGTTGTCTTATGAATTTGGAAAAACAACGACAAGAGGAATATCTCAAACAATTGTGGCAACAGGAAAAAGATGTTGCGCCGGTTGCTGCAGGGGATAGTAGAAAAAGTGAAGTTGTGGAAAACGATGTATCCTCACCAAGTGAGGAAAAGTCATCCCTACAAGAAGAAAGCAAACTATCCGAAACAACATCAGGTGATAAAGATTCCATAAATGAAGAAATATCGCTGGAAAAGTTGACCACATCCTCTTCCCAAAACTCAAATATTAGCAATAGTTGTACTGCCAAGGATTTGGTTGAACATTTGGTTGATGCCATATGTGATACAGTTGTGAGTGAACAGATTGGAATTGAAGAGCTTGCAAAGAGCATAGACGAAAGGGGCGAGGAGCAAGACTCGTCCGAAAACGAGTTTGAAACGAACAATAAAGATAATGAAAGTGAGCTGACACTTGTCAGTAATACTGACTCGATTGCAAAGGAATGTGAAGCAACTGATGAAGATACATCAAAAGCTGCTGCTGCTGTTGCTGGAAAACCCAAAGAGAGTACAGATGTTTAGCATTTAAATAGTACAATATGGTTAACATTTGCACTAGGTATGGACAAAGCAAATGATTTTATAGGGCTATTGGGTTCAATGTCATCTGCTTTCCCTGCTTTATTTTTATTGTCTGTCGTCTGGGTAGAGTTTTGTTTCCACGAGCACACACACACACACATTGCCAATGCCAATATTACCAAAAAGGGGTGTTCATTTGTAACGTTTCACCTGTATATCCATAAATGATGAGCGAGAAGTGTCCAAACCTTCACTACATTGATCTTCCGAATTTCTTTCCATATTATTTCTTTTTCTCCTGCGTGATCATATTTTTATTCGTTTTGCAAAGCCAAAAATATTTATACTCTTACATGATATTGAAATTGTTTTCGGTTTTCTTCTTTTATTTTCAACCATTTATTGCAGAAAGCAAACAAACTTAAAGTATAGCAATTTTAAAAATGCTTGTAAATATTTGTTAAAATTAGTTATTTTTTACATAACCTAAAAGAACGTAGTTAATATTTTAATAAACAAAAAAGAATAATATGGTTGTTTAATTGCAAAAAGTAAATACACATATACATACAAAAAGAAGAAACCCCCATAACAAAAAAAGTATATTTAATAATAATTAAAACAGGGTTATTTGTTTAGTTTCTTCTAATGTTTCAAAGTTAAATATGAAAATAAAGTTGAAAAGAGAAAAAAAAACGAAAAAAAAGCTGAAAACAAAATGTTGTAAAAAATTCCTTATATTATTGCTTTATTACTAGCTGAATACACAATATGTTAACATTAATTGAAAATTAAAACATATATTAAAAAAAAACAAACATTATACATATGTATGAATAAATACATTTATTGTATTATATCTATATATAACCATTATTATATAAATATGATGATAATGATAAATTTAATGTAATTATGGCCTATTATTATCATAGAAAAATACTCCGATTTTGTAAAATGTTTGTAAAGAAATATCAAACCCCCCAACTGATAAGTTATATTTGTATTATTTTTATTAATATTAAAATTATTATTTGTTCCAATTGCCCCCTAGTATATTTGATTATTTTTTTCTACCATTTTTTATTTTCTAGTTTTATTGCCTTTTTATATCTCCTCCTTCTTATCCTCTTTATAAATGCACATAACTTTTAAGAGTTTTTAGGTATATGTATACATGAAAATAAAACCAAACAAAGAGTGTTATTTTTCAAAAAAATAATTTAGTTCTGGAAAAAGTTTATTTTTTTTTATTTTCACATGTAGAATCACAGTTTACTCGCTAAAGTGATTTCATAGCAAGCAGCTTTAAGCCAACAACCCACAGAAGATTTTCTTCAGGCCGCCAATTTACTGCGAAATATGTTTTATACTAGGAATTATAAGCTTGCCTCCAATGGTCTGATAATGAGGGTATCAGAATGGTATTATTCTTTAAAACCTTTATTTCCAGATCTTTTGCTCCTAACGGAGATTATCAGTAACGTAAAGGTATGAAAGAAGTCCAAGATACCATTTATTAGTGAAATGCCACAACCAGTATCGAGAAAAAATGCTCGGATAATCCCAAGGAAACAACTGGAAGTTTATACAACAAGGTGAACTGCAACCACATGCGGATTGGCGCGCCGTCAGCAAGGATAAGCTAAGATCTTGTCTCAACTGCTCAGACTGCTGTCATTTCTAAGCCACTCGTCCGACAGCTGTTAAAATTAATCCAGGGACAGCTCATTATATTTGGCTGGAAAACCACAAACCAAAACCTATCGTTAGAGCATTCCAGCATTTAAATGTGAACAAATCTTTTGTGTCTCGTATCATCGCTCGTTACCGTTGTTCGAAAAGTAAACAAGTGACTTGATCGAAACGTGTCGCGGTGCCCGAAAATGGCTCGTGAGCTGAACATATCGCAATATTCCATTCGTCAAATATTGAAAAATGAGCTCAGGGTTAAGCCATTGAAATTCCAAAGAGTGCAAGAACTTACACCGCAACAGAAAGAAAATAGACTCAATAGAGCTAAAGAGTTGCTTCGCTTGGCCGAAAGTGGTGAACTGTCGAATTTGATTTTCTCCGACAAGACAACATTCGTTGTCCAGCAGTTTGTAAATCTCACCCTGTATATACTTAAGTGAATTTTCTATATATACAGGTTGAGATAAAAAACTGCAACAAAGTCATGGCGTTTGACATTTTTACATTTTTTAAATTTTATTGAATGAAAGCAAAAAAATCGGAAACAGCATCAAATTTTAGAATAGGTTTAGATTTGTTCGAATTGATCACCTTTGGCACGAATTATGGCCTTCAAACGGCCAATGAAACCTTCACACGCTGCCTGAATGTTGGCCCATTCCCGGCGAAGCACTTGCTTGAAGTGATCGACACTTTGATAGTTTTTAGTGCCAACGTTCCTTTCCAAAATACTTCAGACACAATAGTCCAACATAATAGGATTGTTATCCGGACCATTCTTGGGTGGCACGTGCTGAGTGGGAATGTCCTGTTATGGCGGAGCCATTTTTCATCATAAATCTGAAGACTCTTTCTGACGTGTCAGCATTATAGAGAAAAGGATCTTCAATTCAAATATGAACAAGTTATTAAATTGTCGAGGGCTTAAAATGAGAAGAGATGAGAAATGTATGAGGTTTATGTCATATATTGTAGGAGTCAATATTATTCAACATTTTGATCTTCTGAGGGAGTAGTACCAGGTAAAATATGGGAATTTGCGAAGTTTAAAAGAAATTTGGAAATAATTTTGCATCTATGATTATTCAACATTGAGTTACCAGAAGAACTCGACCGATTAGGTTAATCTTTGTAACTGCACTATGTCTGATATAAGTATTACGATACGGCGAAGTTTCAACCAAATCCTATACACCATACGTTAGGCATGAGATGCAAACATTCGCAGTAAATGTTGATCTTTTGTAGGGAAGGTAGAAGGTTTGCTAAAAATTATTACTTTGCACAAAGTACGGACTAAGTCGGACACTCCTTTCGAGAGTTTTGGTGCAAACCAGTCAGACAGAAGTCATTAGGCTGAGGCCAATAAAAATGATATAAAAGCCCGTCACATAAAGGGAGGTTAATAATTTAGTACACCTGTCGAATATGGACTCAACAATTAAAAACGACAAGTTCGAACTGACCAGATTTTTCATACCCTCCACCATTTGAAAACTTATGGCCAAATCCTAATCTATTCCCAAAATCGCTAAAATCTGGAGATCGTTTTTATAATGGATGCATCTGCATATTTTGCGAGGAATTAAATTATCTACTAAGAACCCGAAACGTCCCCTCACAGCTGATTTGGAAAATGATCCAAACCCTTCAGAATACCAAGTAATAAGGAGGTAATATTATATGGTGGATCATATGCGTACTTACAGCTAATATGATTGAAAATATCGAAAATCAGTAAGTAAAGTTGTAAGGGGTCTATACTACAAAGTGGACCGACTTTAACTACCCACAGGTAACCCGAAATGTGAAAGTTACTGCTTGGAAATTAAAATCGGTACCTTCTGAAAAAGTGGACCTACATTAAATAGTTTTAACGAGAATTTAAACTGTCCATTGACAACACGAAATGTGAAACTGCAACTGATTATGGTTGGAAATTAGGGAAAAACTCTCCAGAATTCCGAAAATCGGAAATTACTGTTATATGGTGGCTAAATCAAAACGTGAACGTGATTCGATATAAAATACCAAAACTAACTTGATTTCAACAGACAGACAAACGGGCGTACCAAGATTGACATAGATTTTTACGCTGATCATAAAATACAGGGTGAGATGAAAAAACTGTAACCAATTCCAGACTGCTGTCATTTTAAAGTCTCTCGTTCGACAGCTGTTAAAATTATTCCAGTGACAGCTTATTATATTGTTTACAAGCGTACAAAAGCCTTTTGGTGAGAATTTTTCAGAAAAAAAATTATTCGTGATGGAATTTAAGCGTGATAGTGTGATTTCTTTATATTTGGCTGGAAAACTCGTTAGAGCACTCCTGCATTTAAATGTGAATAAATATTTAGTGTCTTGTACCATCGCTCGTTACCGTAATACTAGTAGAGTAGTCCGACGTCAGGGAAGTGGACGGAAAAAAACAGCAACATCAGCAGAAATGGTTCGTAAAGTAAAGAAGCGACTTTATCAAAACCAGTGTCGCGGTGGCCGAAAATGGCTCGTGAGCTGAACATATCGCAATACAGTATTTTTTGCTTACCTGCACAATCAAAAATTGCACGACATCTTGTGCAGCAATGCCCAAAATGCAGGTAGCTTCATTGCACTTATCTGCACAATGAAGCAGGTATCTTTAATTTTACTTACGTGCACAAAAAGTGCATTTATCTTTAATTTTCTATTCGTATGTATTTGAGCATCAGTGGTGTTTTATCCAGCATAACCATCTTTTAGTGTGGGAGAGGAAGCGAGAATATGTTTTTAATGCATGCTCTTTTCTTGTGTTGTTATTGTTTTTGCGAATACAAAAACAAAAACGAAGTGGTAGTTTTTAGTGTCTTTTTTAAGTTTGCAAAAAATTTTCTTGTGCAGATAAATACAACTTTTGTAACCAAATTAAAAAAAAAAAAAATTACCAAATTTTCGAGGCAGGAATGTCCAATGTGCAGCTATCGATTGGGCACTTAAATAAAATTCAAATAAAGGGATTCAGAAAACAATGGCATAACAAAAGTTTTTTGGTCTGTAAAGGCCAAAAGAGCTAAAGAGTTGCTTCGCTTGGCCGAAAGTGGTGAACCGCCGAATTTGGTTTTCTCCCATGAGAAAATATTCGTTGTCCAGCATTTTGTAAACAAACAAAATGATCGTGAAAATGTGCACCTTCGGTTGGCCACCTGAACTCAAGCGCCGGCCATGGTGATGGTGTGGACCACCATAGCAGCCGATGGTCGCTCTCCGCTCGTATTAATCGACCGTGGCATCATAAATGACAAATATTACCGCGAAAATATTCTGATGGGTGTATTAAAGCATTGGGCACGCAAAATTTTTGCCGCAGACCTTGGACATTTCAACAGGACTCAGCACGCGTCACATAAGAATGGTTACAAAATAAGGTTCCTCGCTTCATTTCCAGCGCACAATGGCCATCAAAAATGCAAATGCAGAAGTTTCTTCTATTAGGAGACTTACAAGTTTTTTTAATCTTTTAAGGATAGCCGTTCCCGTTCTTTTCTGCAGGAGTGGGTTAGGCAGTAAACTAGCTTCACGTCTTCTTTTTATTTAGATTTTCAGCATCTGTGTTGTGCTCATGTTTTTTGGTGTTCCTTCTGTGATGAACTGCTTGAAGGCCAAAGCTCCGACAGTGCAAGATAGTCAGATGGTCCTTCATTGCTGTATGTTACAGTGACAGCTAATGGCAGATAATTCTGCTTGAAATTAAATTTCTATTTCTGATATAACTGGTAGTGGGGGATGTTGATGTACCTTGACAAACCAGAGATATAGGCAAATATACATAAAGGTTTAACTGTAGCTTTTTTCAACATGTTTTTAATTATCACCAAAACTTGAATTCACAAAATTATTTTTTTTTTTGCAAAATTGAACCTTAATTGGTTTAAAAATGTATTTTTGAAGGTTTCCAGAAGCATAGTATTGAGCCTCCCTCTAACTTTATCTAGTGCTAAATTATTGAAAAAATTAACAACTAGCATAACACACACACCCATGCAAAATTAGTATTAAGACTTTTTAGAAAAGAAAAAAATACAACAACAAAAAAACTAAAAAAAAAAAACAAAAGCTCTCATGTTGCCTTAAAAATTAGACTGATTTTCTAACAAATTTATTAAACCGAATATACTAAATAATAACAAAATGTATATGAACACATACACACAAATACATAGAGACAAATTCACACACACACAAATACAATAACTGAAAACATAACCATTTAAACAAAAGATATTTAGCAAGATAAAACTAAAATAAACTCCTTTAACTCTTCCTATTTAGTATTCAATAAATTACAAATGAAATATAATTAAAACCAAAAAAATTAAAAAAAAAAACAAATTTAGTTTCCCAAAAAAAAAAAAAAAAAAAAAAAAAAAACATTGAACATTTTAATAAATTTTTTTTTCAAAACTAAAAAAACTTGAAATATTTTTATTTGGAAATTAAACTCATGTATTTTGTTTGTACATAAAGGGCTCCTTACAAAGTAAATATATATAAAAATAATAAACCCAAAAACAACTACTATACAAATATATAAAAGCATATCAATTATGTCAAGTAATGAATATATAAATCTATATTAAAAAAGTTAAACAGAAAAAAAGGAAAAATACAATTTCAAAAATGGTGCATATTTTCATCTTTGAGTAATGTAACATAAGTTTATTGAAAATCCAAAAAAGAAAAGAAAAAAATAAAACCTTTTGAAATTTAAATTATGCGCAAACAAATGTTAAAAAATACAGTTTGAAACTATATATGTAAAATAATTAAATAAATAACCTCATAAAGTACTCTCAAAAAACCACACTATCTCCTGTTTCGCTTTTACTCTTCCTCTCTCACTCAACTCATTTTAATATCGTTCTATTCTCTCTCTCTATCTTAAATATGGAAACAAAAAAGAAATTCAATTAAAAAGTAATCAATAAATACAAAATGTTACAAGAAAAAGTAATAATAATATTATTATAATCCATATTAGCTTTGTAAATAGTTAAAAGATATTAAATACAATTATTGTACAATTACAAAATTATTATAAATAACGAAAAAGAGAAATTGAAACAAATTAATTGAGTTAATAAAAATTATTAAAAAAAAATAAACAGGCGGATCTGCAAATTATTTGGAAATGAAATAGGCCAAGGCATACAAAAGGCCAGCCAAGAAGACTCCTGGCCGACCATATACAGGGTGAGATAAAAACAAGTAAAAAAGTATCGGTCAGTTTTGCCAACAGATGTATACCCTCAGCCAATGTTCGACTATTTAAAAATATTTTGACTTCTGTTATGATTATTCAAATGTTTAACCCCTTATGCAGTAGGTTCCGAAGGAATGGGAAAATATTGGCCATTTCGTATCGGACTTAAATATATATGATACAAATATTGTGATGTGCTAGGTTTGGACTGTGTTGTGTTAATGAAAATATTATGATGCCTTGAATGGAATCGGATGTCAATTTCGCGTTTTATGAGTGGTGGAGGTACCAGAAGGAGTGGACCGATATATCCCATCTTCACAACGGATCTTTTGTTAGAGGAAATAATGGGATGTGTGAAATATAAAGAGAACATGATGCTTATTTTGGATTTTATAAACGTTTTGGTTATCCAAACTTTCACCCTTTGTGGGGGTGGTACCAACAGATCCTGTGTTGATAGAAATATTCAGATGTGCCAAGTCTAAATGAACTTAATGGATACTCAAAATTTCGACCTTTTGTGGGGGAGGTACCAGAAGGAGTGGACCGATATATTCCATCTTAACACCAGATCTTGGGTTTATGGAAATATTGGGATGTGTGAAATTGTAAAACACTCGGATTCTTTCATGACATTTTAAAAGACTTATAATTATTCAAAATGTTTACCCTTTGTGAGGGATGTACTTGATGGAGTTGACCGATATTATCTATTTTCACACCAGACCTAGCACTGACGCAAATATTAGGATTTGCCAAGTTGGAGCAAAATCGAATTATCCTTTTTCTTTCTGTGCAAAAAATTTATATATATTTTTTGAAAATTTCGACCTTCGAGAGTTATCGAGAGTTGTCGAGAGACAGACAGACGGGGCGTGCTGAGTGCATTGGTGCTGAATCCTGTTGGAATGTCCAAGGTCTGCGGCCAAAATGTTTGCGTGCTCAAGGCCTTAATACACCCTCCAGAATATTTTCGCAATAATATTCGGCATTTATTCTGATGCCACGGACGATTAATACGAGCGGAGAGCTGGAGCGACCATCGGCTGTTATGGCGGCCCACACAATTTCCATGGCCGGCGCTTGAGTTCTGGTGGCTAGTCGAAGATGCACATTTTCAGCTGACCTCTTTGGCAAGTAAACACGATAATTTTGTTTGTTTACAAACTGCTGGACAACGAATGTTTTGTCATCGGTGAAAACCAAATTCGACAGTTCACCACTTTCGGCCAAGCGAAGTAACTCTTTAGCTCTTTTGAGTCTATTTTCTTTCGGTTGCGGTGTATATTCTTGCTCTTTGTGGAATTTCGATGGCTTTACCCCAATATTTGACAAATGGAATATTGTGATATGTTCACCTCATGAGCCATTTTTCGGCCACAGCGACGCGGGTTTCGATCAAGACGCTTCTTTACTTTTCGAACCATTTCTGCAGATGTTGCTGTTTTCTTCCGTCTTCCGTACATTTCTTTGACGTCGGGCTACGCTGCCAGTATTAGGGCAACGAGCGATGGTACGAGACACAAAAGATTTATTCACATTTAAATGCTAGAGTGCTCTAACGATAGCCACTTGTGGTTTTCCAGCCAAATATAAAGAAATCACACTATCACGCTTGAATTCCATCACGAATAACTTTTTTTCTGGGAAATTCTCACCAAAATGCTTTTGTCGCTTCACTGGAATAATTTTAACAGCTGTCGGACGAGGGGCTTAGAAATGTCAGCAGTTTTTTTCATCTCACTCTGTATATAGGCCATGAAAAGGGCTTATAAAAACTCTGATTCTCTGTCTTTATCGGACAAATTATTTCTTATTCAAGGCAAGAAATGTCAAAAAATCTATAAAGAAAATATTTTTCATTCCAGCCCCAGGAAAGGATATTTACATGACATTATTCATACTCAACACTTGCATTAAATAAAAATTCAAACTCGTCGATCTATGTTTCGGTTAAAAAAAGAATCAGCATCAGAATACTAAGGTGGGTCCTCCAAAATCGACAAAATTATCTTGCGGACATGTTTTGGATTAATGTAAAGGATTCTTAATACCGAGCTGAAACGTTTGCCGTTTCTCAAACTTACACTTATCTAACTGAGGTTCAGTTTTGAAAAGCCGCAGCTTCGTTTTTACTTTCCTTTTATGCGATCACAAATTGTTTCATTTCTTTAAAAATAATGGTTTTTTACTTTTTAATAGTTCACTTCAAATAACTTCAACAATTCAAATGGAGTCCATTTTTTCTGGCATAGGAAAAAACCCATGGCCACTTTTATTTTTTTAAATTAATGATAAAGAAGAAGAAAAAATTATTCTAATTTATTTGGTGGCCATATTGGCATCAATTCCGACAGGGAAACATCATACAAAATATTTTGATATTCATGGAGCAAAACTGAAACAATATAAAAAAAAATACAACTCAAAATATAATTTTTTTTCAAATTTCAAATCAAAAATAAACTCACAGTTTGGATTTGTCTCCCATTCAGCGAAAAGCTTTTGCCGGTTATTGATTTGTTTGACAATAAGGCAACGTTTAAATTTCAGCAGGGCATCATTCAAATTGGACCAACTTTTAATCATTGCGGAGGGAGTTGATTTCAGTTTGCTTTTAAACGGTAAAAGTTGAGGACACACTTGACCATCCAGCAGGAACATGGCAAAGTAGCTGAAAACATAAAAAAAAAAAACAAATATAATTTTATTTAAAAATTCATTTATTTTGAATTTCTTACCAAAAAGCTTTCTCCTCCATGGGCATTTCTATTTCGGTCAAAGGCAAATCCCAACCAGCCTTACCGAACGTGGCATCAACATAACAATAGATTTTACCATCTTCCGGTTTGTAACGTGGCAAAGGATCTTCTTTAATGGCCTTGATGTTACATAGCAGTGGCACATAAATCAACAACCATTCGGGTTCTATTACCGTTATGCCTCTTATAAACATTTTTGTACTGTCTCCGTTTTGTATTTCATATGCCTCCTGATAGATAACCCATTCGGGTAGTTTTTGTTTCAACACCGAAGAGGAATGCATGAAAACTGGTTCTTCCATATCCATACAATTGTAGGCATATTTCAAACGACGTTTTTCTTCCTTATCGCTTATATCTTCCAGTGAAACCTTGCGGGCTACCTTGTCACCCATGCCGGAGAGAAGTATCTGCCGTAAAAATCTTGCCTGGGCATCTGTGGGCGGTGGCATAGATGGATCTACACACAAATTCACTGAGGAAATGGATAAATTGATTTCATTGGTAAGTTGTACGCGTAGCTTGCGTACTTCGGAAATTGCCTTGTGACGTAGACCGTTGTCGGCACAAAATTTAACTAACTCTCCCTTGGATCCGGCATATTCGGCGGCACCCACAGCCCTTAAGAGAACCATGGGATCTCCCAAAAGTTGATAATTTCCCGTGGCAGCCCAAGACTGGCGTTTCTTTTGCCATCTATTGATGGCTGCAGAACCATCCTCTTTTTCCTTGTCGAAGTTGACTTCGACCAGAACCTCTTGCACAGACAAAGCAGCTACCAAACACACTGTGTATGGCAGTAAATCTTGTTGATGGGAAAGAGCCAACATTTTGCCAAAGCGTGGAGCTACAGGAAAACGAGATATAGTGTGACCCAACCGCGTTACAATTGGTGGTACATCTTTGGAACTCTGGGCATCGGCAACCTTTTCCAGGGCGCCTAAAATTATCAAACGCTGCTCGGCAGCTTTTAATTGCACAGCATCAGGTGGTGAGGGGAAGGGGAAATTAATGACACGATCAATGCCCATACAACGCATTTGCAGCATTAAATCGTCCACGGGCTTCTTCTGTATGTCGGGCAATGAGAAATCCTCAAATTCATTGTTGTACACGGCACTAGAATACAGTCGGTAACAGTGACCGGCACTGACACGACCAGCACGTCCGGCTCTCTGATCGGCAGAGGCCTTCGAGGTATAGGTCACAACAAAGGCACTAACACCTGTAATCTTGTCATACAAGCGTGTCTTTTGTTTGCCACTATCTACCACATATTTAATATTGGGTATGGTAAGTGAGGTTTCGGCCACATTTGTACTGACTATACAAAGACGACAACCCTCTGGTGGAGGTTGAAAAATACGATTTTGTTTTTCGGTAGATAGTAGGGAGTACAGCGGCAAAACCCACAATGGTTGTTTGGTGGTGGCTGCAGCCGTACCTTCATCCAGTTGTTGTGTGGTTCCATCATCATCGTCATCATCTAAATCGCCTTCTTGGTGATTCTCCTCCCCTACCTCGTCTTCCAAGAGATCTGCTTCTGTGTCATCGCCGGGTAGCTTGTAATCATCCAAATTAATTTTGGGTAGAGCCAGTTGGGTTAGGAATTTTTTCTTGGATTTGCGAACATTGCGTATGGCACGTTTCATATCGAATTCATCGTCGGAATCATGAGGCTTTGTCGATGGCATTTCTTCGTCTTCTTTGTCAGCTTTGCCTTCCTCCTTTTTAGTTTCGATGGCTTTAGGTTTCTGCTTACTCCCATCTGGATTATATGGAAATGTTCTTCTCAACTTGCGTACCAATTGATTAACTTCCTGCTGGCCCGTGAGGAAAATTAAAATACCTCCTTCAGGAAGCTGAGAATGTATTTTTACTGTCTTGCGATATGCCTCCTCCACATAGTTTTCCGGAGTATGTTTTTGAAAATGTACAGTGACAGGATACTGTCGGGCCTCCACTTTCAGTAAAGGTGGTGGGGTTTTAAATAACCTTGCATTGCCGGTGAAATCTTCCACTCTCAATGTGGCAGACATGATAATCAATTTCAGAGGATTACCACCTCTTTTCAAACGCAAAGGCACAATGCGTGACAGAAGACCCACTAAAATATCGGTATAAGCACTTCTTTCGTGAGCCTCATCCAAAATAATAACTGAATAGTTTTTCAGCAGAAAGTCCGATTCGATTTCCTTCAACAGAACACCATCAGTCATGAATTTGATTTTAGTTTCTGGCGTAACATTACCCTCGAAACGTATGAGATACGACACCTCCTTTTCGCTTAGATTCATTTCGGTAGCAACACGTTTGGACATGGCAATGGCAGCCACTCGTCGTGGTTCTGTGATGCCAATAAGTTTGCCATTTTCACAATAGCCAGCTTCGTACAGAAATTGGGGGATTTGTGTGGTCTTACCGGAACCAGTTTCACCAGCAACAATAATAATGTTATTCTCATTGATAACTTCCATAACTTGTTGTTCTTCAGCCAGGATGGGTAGTTTTAAACGTGCTGCCTGAATTTCTGGATCACGATGAACGGGTACATAGACAGTCGAACGCAGTGGTGCTTCAGGTTTTTTAAATTCCTCAATTTTCTTAGTTTCTGAAGGATCTTTTGGAAGAGTTTTTGCATCTTTCTCTTGTGCTTTGTTTGCTTCTATTTTTGTGGTCTCTTCTTTGGGAGTTTCCTTAGCTGGTGCTTCCTTAGTATCCATTTGTTCCTTGCTATCGTTCTCATCGTCATCATCATCTTCGTCACTGCTGCTCTCATCCATGCCCACATAATTGGGATTACGTTTCTTGGCCTCAATGTCTTCGACTTCTTCGCTAAGAAGTTTGCGTTTAGCTGCACCTTTTATGGAACTAATCTTTGAACCCTCTGCCACTTGGGTTGCCTTTTGCCTTTGCAATTTCTTGGCCATTATCTCTTCCAGAGTGTCCAGTTTCTTAACACCCACCGTTTGTACTTGACTAATGGATGTGTATTGCTTGAGTTCAGTCTCTGGTACTTGGACCTTGGCCAAGGCTTCCAAAAGATCGGCACGCTAAAAGAAAATACAATTTTTAAAAGTAACATCTTCTGTTTTTAATTTGTCACACTTACCCCCTCCTTCTTCTTTTTCTTGTCCACAATCGCCTGCAAATGCTTTCTTTGCTTTTTACTCAGAATCTTTACATTTTGCTTGTGTTCCACTTTCACTTTGGTCGCCCGTTTTTGTGAGGGCAGGACCAAGGCATTTGCCTCGTCATAGCCAGCTCCTGTGGAGCCACCTTCAATTTCGGAAAGCTCTAGCTTGACCTGCAACGTGAATCAAGAACAAATTAATTAATTTATGATTTCTTTATTTTCTTCATCAAACTTACATTTTTCAATGCCGAATTATCGACAATTATTTCTTTCTGCTGCCGCGCCTTGGCATTATAGACCTTTTTACCCATTTTTTCTCAGATTTTTTAAACAATTTCGAAGTATTTACTGAATTTGTCTGCATGCACGTTTTTCTTTGCTGTCTCTGCTGGCGCTCTGTTCACGTTATTTTGTAAACAAAACACATGTTGTTGTTGCGCAACTGTATTATCGACAACAGCTGTTTGTAACAGGGTGTATACGAGCAATAGAATGCAACAAATGGATGAAATAAAACAGTGGTTTTTGATGAGACGTAACGTAGACTTTACCGTTAAATTATCATACAAATAGTGTTTGCATTCTAGATTTTTTAATTTAATTTAGGTCTGGTTGATAGCTCGATAAATTTTACAATGATAAAAATAATACAGACAGACAGTTGCTGGTACAATGAACTGTCAAACAATTTCCAGAATCCAAATTTGTTTATGAAAAATTATTCAAATTTGTTAACATTGTTGAGAAACATGTATCCATGGCTCAAAACTACGACAATTTTTTGCGACCGTCTGGTTTTTCATTTGTAATAAATTATTCAATCATTTTCTTAATTTCTAAGTTCTTTTATTTTTATCCTTATGCATATCTTTACTTATTTTATAATTTTAATTATTTTATTTTACATAATCTCTTATTGCAATTTTCTAAATACATACACACATAAATATACTATACAATACGCCCGGGGTTAATGCCTCTCCATGAAATCATCATCGACTTCTTCGTTGTGCGTCGATTTATGTTCATAGCTGTGATGATGGTGGACATGCTCCTCTTCGTCGTCGTACTCGTTGGCGGCAAACTCGGCATGCTTGTGATCATGCTGATGATCGTGTTTCGCCTCATGGTGGTGATGATGTTCATGGGAGACATGCTCCTTTTTGATGATCGGATGATGCTCTTCAATGATTTTCTTTTCCTCTTTCAGGACAATCGGTTTGTGATGATGGTGGATGTGTTTCACAATGGTGTGCGTGTGTTTTTCGATCTTCTTATGGACGGGCACATGGATGGTGATTTTCTTCTTTTTTGCATGGGATCTAGATAAGAGGAATGGAGATATTGAATTTTAGAAAATCAAGTGGATTCTATTAGTTTTCGGCAGTTATGAAATCAGAGAAAAGATATATTTTTCTTATTGAGATCTGTTGGCAACCCTGTTGTGATTAGTGTCAAAAAATTGTGGTGCTCCGTGCTCTTGAAAAAAATATTTATTATATCTTTTATTAAATTAATTAATTTGACAAAAAGTGTCTAAAAGTGTTTAATATTGATTCTGCAAATTATAGTGTGATAATTGGTGTAGTGATTTAAAACTTGTTTTGTGTTTAAACTAATATCAATTTTCAAATTGTGTAGTTTTTCATTTCCCTCTTTATCCTGTTTCTTTTGTCACATTAGCTAATTAGTTGTTGTAACTCATCTTCTTGTTTAGTTTGTCATCTCAAAAGAGTTGCCAACATTGAAAAACAGAGATTACTTCACTATTGCATTATTCTGATTACGTTCTACCTGCTTTCTTTTTTATACCCTACATCACACTGTGGTCAGGGTATTATGGCTTTAAGCATTTGTTTGCAACATAGAGAAGGAAGCGCGCATGGTAGAATTAAGGTAAGGTAAAGTCATACAATCATATGTTTAAATTTTTTTCAAAATAATTCATTTGACAGCATCTCATTGTCAAAATTTATAATTATAAATTCATTGTATACACAGAAATCAAAGATGGGAGCCTCTTATTTATTCAAAGAAATTTGACAAGGTCATTTACAGAAAATGCAGAGATGGATATGCTTATTTGAAATGACTTTACCTTCTTCATTTTACCATGGAAGCGAGTTAGACCCATAGTTTTTATTGAGATTCTGAGTCGAGATAATTCGAGATGAAACTTTGTACAAATCATCGATAATTGTTCAAAATTTAGATATAGCTCCCATATATATTTTCGTTTCCGATTTGCTTTTATTGTGCACCAAATGTGTAATATTTTTCCAAATTGGATGAAATTTGGCACATTCGACCAAATTGAGCCTAGAAATAAGTACGTCGAATTTAGGTGGAAATCGGTTCAGATATAGCTCCCATGTATATTGTACATCCGACTTATTATACACAGCCATAATATGCAGTCCGCAACAATTAAATCCGGGAAATATATCAAATACTGCTACAGGTTAATATAAGCCTTAATTGAATGGAAGCCTGGAAGAACTTGTATCAAATTTTGTGAAAATCGCCTAAGATATAGCTATAGGTCTCATATATACAGGGTGCGATGAAAAAAACCTGCAACCAAATTCAGACTGCTGTCATTTCTAAGCCACTCATCAGAAAACTGCTAAAATTATTCCAAATATAGCTCACTACAAGCGAACAAAAGCAATTTGGTAAGAATTTTCCAGAAAAAAAGTTATTCGTGATGGAATTCAAGCGCGATAGTGCGATTTCTTTATATTTAGCTGGAAAACCACAAGTGGCTATCGTTAGAGCACTCCAGCATTTAAATGTGAATAAATCTTTTGTGTTTCGTGCCATCGCTGGTTACCGTGTTACTGGTAGTGTAGCCCGACGTCAAGGAAGTGGACTCATGAAAACAGCAACATCAGCGGAAATGGTTTGAAAAGTAAAGAAGCGACTTGATCGGAACCCGCGTCGCAGTGGCCGAAAAATGGTTCGTGAGCTGAACATATCGCAATATTCCATTCGGCAAATATTGAAAAGTGAGCTCGGGACAATGCCATTGAAATTCGAGAAAGTGCAAGAACAGAAGGAAAATAGACTCAAAAGAGCTGAAGAGTATCTTCGCTTGGCCGGAAGTGGTGAACTGCCAAATTTGGTTTCCTCTGATGGGAAAACATTCGTTGTCCAGCAGTTTCTAAACAAACAAAATGATCGTGTTTACTTGCCAAAGAGGACGGCTGAAAATGTGCACCTTAGGTTGGCCACCAGAACTCAAGCGCCGGCCATGGTGATGGTGTGGGCCGCCATAACAGCCGATGGTCGCTCTACGCTCGTATTAATCGACCGTGGCATCAGAATAAATGCCGAATATTATGGCGAAAATATTCTGGAGGGTGTATTAAAGCCTTGGACACGCAAACATTTTGGCCGCAGACTTTGGACATTCCAAAAGGACTCAGCACCATCGCACTTAGCACGCGCCACCCAAGAAGGGTTAAGAAATGAGGTTCCTCGTTTCATTTCCAGCGCACAATGGCCACCAAAATCTCCGGATACCAATCCGTTGAACTATTGTGTCTGGAGTATTTTGGAAAGCAAGGTTGACACTAAAAAATACCAAAGTGTCGATCACCTCAAGCAAGCGCTTCGCCGGGAATGGGCCAAAATACCGCAGACGGTTTCATTGGCCGTTTGAAGGCCATAATTCATGCCAAAGGTGACCAATTCCAACAAATCGAAACTTATTCTAAAATTTGAAAAAAAAAAAAAAAAAAATTATGGCGTTTTAATTTGTTGCATTTTTATCTCACCCTGTACTTATTAAAAAAACATTTTACAATTTTAAAAATTTTCTCAAGCGTTGATGCATCTACCTGTATTCTTCTACTATGGATTTAGTGGTCTAAACGAGCTCTAAAGATGGGAGTACATAAGAAGCTTGAAGTTTTCGCATGACATATTTTGTGACATATCATAAAGGAACGCCAGAGCCGCATTGCCGTCGTTTTTTCCTATTCCCTAAGGTACCTCCCGATATTCGAAATTTTGATGATTTTTTCCACATTATCCAACAGATTTGTCCAAAAATTGGTATTTGTAGTTTGTAGTGGGTTCTAGCTTCTAGCTCTAGTGACGGAACATTGTATATAACGGTCCACGTTTTGCTATACCTCCCGGTAACGGTACCTCCCGATATCCGGTATTTTTATGATTTTTGCTACATTTTCCCATAGATTTGTCCAAAAAATGGTATTTGTAGTTTGTAATGGATCCTAGATCCTGTGGCGAAACATTGGATGTATAGGTCCACGTTTTGGTACAGCTCCCATATAACCGTAGCTCCCCCTATTTGGTATTTTGATGATTTTTGACACATATTTCCACAGATTTGTCCAAAAATTGGTATTTGTCAAAATGATGTATTTGATGATTTTTGTCACAATTTTCCACGCATTCGTCTAAAAAATGTTAATTGTAAGTTCTAATGGGTTTTAGCTCTGGTGGCGAAACGTTGTATGAATTGGTCCACGTTTTTGTACAGTCGTCTTATAATTGATGATTTTTGCCGTATTTTTCCACAGATTTGGTATTTGTAGTTCGTAATGGGTTTTAGCTCCGGTGGCGGAACACTTTCTACGGAGGATGATTTTGATGATTTTTGCAACTGTTTTTAATGGTTTTGCCTAAAAATTTGTATTTGTAGTTCAAATTGGCAGAACATTGAATATTAAGGTCCAAGTTTTCCTATAGCGCACATATAACGATATCCACCGATATTCGGTATTTTGATAATCCTAGTCACATTTACCAACGAAATTGTTTCAAATTTGGTATTTTAGAAGATTTGGTAGCTGACAATCCTTGACGTATTAAATTGTCTCTATGCCAATTTACGTTAGAACTTTTTGGAGGGTTAACCTACTTTGAGAGGATTTATTTGAAGTAAAAGTAATGGAAATGACAATTTAAAGCCAAATCCAGTGGGTTAACCCTCATATATATAAACTTACTGTAACCCACTTTATGGTTTTTTTTTAAGATGCCCATATTCGACGGACCCATGACTCTTTGGGCCCATTCCAATCGACGAGGCTTGTCCGCAGGCAACTTTCTTTGCGTCAATTGAATTTTGTACGGGAACAAATGCAAATCAATGCGAATAATCCGTTGCAAAGTGGACCGAGCCATGCCCAACTGCTGAGAACGGCGTTTTTGGGATGTTCTTGGGGACCTCTCAACACTGGCTCGTACGGCAGCGATATTCTCGGCCGATCGCCTTGGTCGACTTTTATATGGCCTCTTCGGATTAGAAAGTGCCTTACCAGTCGAAATTTTTTCGTATAAACGCTTAATGGTGTTCTTAGAAGGCGCAGTTCTCACATTTTTTAATGTTTTAAAAGCTCGTTACTTCTGTTGAATGTAAATTTCAACTATTTCAAAAATCTGCATGGACTGACGCTTCAAACGTCATTAAGCGATGTGACATCTCTGTCAAAAGTTATGGCGTTGCCAGATGGGTTCGTTGAATATGGGCAACCCTGTACGTAAACAAACATCAGTTGAGCAGCATTTATATCCTACTAAGGATATATCTAAACACACAAGATCAACTCTCTGGATTTAACCAACCCAGAGGGTTAATCGACAATAGTACAAACGCGTTATAATGTGGAATGCATAAGAGGTGGGAACACATAAAGCCCTTATTTGGCTGGCTTCTTCGTAGAGGAACAAAGGAGTTTTAGGTTAACTTAGTTCGATTTTTGCCCGAGGCTCCTTTGTTCATTTCCGAAGAAGCCAGCCGATGATTAATGCCAGCCAAATAAGCGCTTTATGTATTTCCCCCCTAAGTCATCGGCTGGCCTTTTCGTTAAAGAACAAAGGAGAATAGATCGACTTAGTTCAATTTCGGACTATCGTTTAAACAGGGTCGCCTTGAAGTATTTTGTTCTTTTTTTGGAAAACCCCAGCCGTTGATTTATGTCAGAAAAAATCGTCTTAGGTATTCCGACCTTCAAACATACATGGAACAATTTCATTTTGACGCTTACGTTCCACTTCCAATAGAATACTTACCCCGCCGCTGCACTATCCGTGTACAGTACCAAGGCCAATCCAAAAATTAAGAATAGATGCAAACACTGGAAACAGAATGATTCAGAAATTAGACAATTTTCACAATCACCCTGTCACTGCGATTTGCAACGGAAATAATTCTTACCAACTGTCGACTGTTCATGGCGCTTGATTGAAAGAGGATTAGAACGGGAAGTTATAAAACTTAATTTAAATTTGTGATTTTTTTTAACTATTCCGTTATAAATAAAAAGACCGGAAGTATATATGACAAGTATTCACTCTACGCGCTCTCTCCCTCTGAGCTAAGGTGTTGTACGTTTAATAACCGAAAATGAAATGTTGTACATCTGCCATAGCTCAAGAGTTTTTATAACATGATGGAGTTATGGCAGAGACCCTGGTACAAGTCGAACAACATTTTCATTGCAAATGTTTGTGTGTGTGTGTGTGTACGTGCGTTTTGGTGTTGGCCAATATTTTTGTGAATCTTTTACTTCCTTAGACCTGGTATGGCTTTATTTTAGGCCTTAGAGAAATATGGCTCACATTCGTCCGATAGACAAAGCACACACCAGCCATAAAGGAAAATGTGGAAAATTATGCTTCTGCATTGGTATGAGTGTATGAGTAAGTGTATAGTCTAAATAAAATTCAGTGAATTGTAACAATTTTTAAATTTGCACTTACTGTTGTTGTTGTTGTTTTTCCTTGGTTGGCATGCAATTTACCTCATTTGTTTTATTTGCTTCGCGTTGGCGTTGGAAAAAAAGAAGATAAAAAATAAATGGGTTTTGTCAAACACCCCCAACTGGAATTTTGTGGTAAAGTGGTTATATGCGAAATAAAGTCACACTGAGGTACTAAAGAGCTCTTTCCTTTTGGCCATTTTCATACAAACAATGCTGGCTGTAGAGTGTCTCTAAGCTCTCCATTATTTTCCCATTCCGTTTATTTGTAACGATTTTCTTTAGCCATAAATGTGATTTTGTTTTATTTACCTTTGTTTTTTCTTCTTCTTCTTTTCTTTAATTCCATTTATATGAAATGTAAAACGGAAGCGTTTGAAAACTCAGTCAACGGAAATGGAATTTTGGTTTTCAAGTATTTGTTCAAATATTTTAACACCCCAACCGCCAACTGATCCAGAGAATTGGCAAAGAGGCGAAAGAAACTAGTTTGTTAAAATAATAAATAAATTCATAAACATATTAAATAATAGAGTGTTTATAGATTATGGAGGAGAGAAAAAATGAAGATGCGTGTGCTTGTAATAATGTAGGTGTGTATCTTCGGAGTATTGAAAATAAAAGCGTGTTCAAATGAATTTAGAGTAAAATAAGTTGGGAAGGAAATGTATATTAAAAATGAATTACATTTAAGAATCCCAAACCGAGGTAATAAAAGTTTTTATTGAATAAACAATTATTAAAAAAAAACCAAATGATTAATCAAAGTGCAGACGCAACTGCTAAGCCGGTCCCCATAGTAAGATCCCCCATCAAGACCAGCGATTGCCAAATTTAATGCCAAAATACTTAATTGCGATTGGAATCAAATATAAATAAAAACAAGTTAAAAAGCAGTAAGTTCGGCCCCATTTTTAGAATATCCTCCACCATTTCGAACAAATTTGGAAATTTCGAAAAACAAAATCCTTTTAAAAATTCCGTTAAAATCTTAAAAATACCAAATGTAGCCCTTATATTAGGGTCTATATGACGATACGGGCCTGCATAGGTAACTTCTGTCATAAGCCATTACAATATTCGAATGCGAAACTTAACAAAAAAAAATCGGTGAATAATGTAGCTAAAATATTCAAAACATCGGGAGATACCGTAATATGGGGGCTACACGAAGACGTGGACCTGCACAGACAATTTTCTGTCATAGACTGTAGTATCCACTACCGTTATATGGGGGCTATACGAAGACGTGGACCTGCACATACAATTTTCTGTCATAGGCTGTAGTATTCATTTTAAACTTCAAATACCAAATTTGAAAGAATTCCGTTGATTAATGTCGCTAAAATCAACAAAGAACCGAATATCCGGAGGTATCTTTATATGGGGGATATACGAAGACGTGGACTTGCACAGACTACTTTCTGTCGTAGGCTGTATTATCCACAACGAACGTTAAATACCAAGTTTGAAACAATTCCGATGAATATTGTCGCAAAAATCATCAAAATACCGAATATCGAGAGGTATTGCTATATGGGGGCTATACCAAAACGTGGACCTGCATGGCCCATTTTCAATACAAAAAGTCCTGCAGACATAGTATATATTTGAGTGAAATTTTATCTGTCTACTTCAATTCGTTCGGAAGCTAGAGTGATTTCCACAGTCGGTTAGTCGGACGGACAACGCTAAATCGACATATGCTGATCAAGAATATATACTTTGTGGTGTCAAAAATGTATATTTCGAGGAGTTACAAACGGAATGACAAAGTTAATATATCCTCCATAGTATGGTGGAGGGTATAAAAACATTAAGTGCCGCCGGGTCGAACTTTCAATACCCTTCACCTTAGGGTAAAGGAAACATTTTTCTATAAAAGTATCTGAATTCAAGCGCGTTTCACTTTAAACTTCATATACCAGTAAGACGGTTTGTATAATGCAGTTAAACTTATCAAAAAACCAAACCGGGAACATCTATAGACAATTTTATACTTCAGGGATTGTCATCTATTAAATTTTCTACACAATTCTAAATTTGAAACAATAATGTGGGTAAATGTGACTAGGATTATTAAATGCCGAATATCGGTGGGTATTGCTCTATGTGCGCTTTAGGAAAACGTGGAACTAAATATTCAATGTTTTGCCACCGGGCTAGAACCCATTATGAACTGCAAGTACTAATTTATATCAAAATATCGAATATCGGGAGGTACCGTTATATGGAGGCTATACCAAAAAGTGGACCTATACATACAATGTTTCGTCACCGGATCTAGAACCCATTATGACTTACAAATACCAATTTTTGGCAAATCCGTGGAAAAATGTGGCAAAAATCATCGAATTACAGAATATCGGGAGGTACTGTTATATGGGGGCTATACGAAAACGTTACCTATACCATCAATGATTCGCCACACGAGCTTGAACCCATTATAGCCTACAAATACCTATATTTAGGCAAATCCATGAGCAATATGGCAAATATCATAAAAATACCGAATATCGGGAGGTACCGTTATATGGGGTCTATACCAAAACGTGGACCTATACATACGTTGTTTCGCCACAAGAGCTTGAACTCATGATACCCTACAAATACCAATTTTTGAGAGAAATCCATGAAAAATGTGACAAAAATCATCAAAATACCGATTATCGGGAGGTACTGTTATATGGGGATTATACCAAAACGTGGATCGATATATTTCATTTTCAATACCAACCATCCTAGATAAAATAAAAATTATTCTGCTAAATTTTGACGCTCTACGCCAAATAATGTGAGCTGTATCGCGATTTCAACAGACGGATATCGTTAAATCGTCTTAGAATTTTATGCTGATTATGAATATATATACATTATGGGGTCTACGACGAATATTTAGGGATGTTACAAACGGAATGACAAAGTTAATATACCCTCCTTTCCAAGGTGGAGGGTATAAAAATTAATCGCTAAATTAAACAAAAAAGCGGCAAAATGACAGACTTAAACGCGAAAAAGCAGAAAAAAATATAATCAAACGTCAGCTGGCTCTGTCTGTACCGACAGTTCAGTTGCAAAAACAAAAATTGTAAATCATGGTAGAATCAAGAAGGTAAAGTCGTGCAATCATATGTTTATATTTTTTCAAATTATTTATTTGCAAACATCTCACTGTCAAAATATATATTCAAAAATCCATTGTACATATACAAATCAGAGATGGGAACCTGCTTTCTATACAGTGAAATTTGATGGGGCAAATTACAGAAAATGCTTAGAGGCATGGTACAATGAAGAGAAGGTAGGTCAACTTTGAAAAAATTGCAAGTATATAGGTCAACCTGTTTGGCTTGTAATGTCAGAATTAGTATCAAAACAATAAAAAATCAAACAACTTGTTGCATTTATTTTGAATAAATAATTAAAAAACGCGATAACTGAATGAAAGGTCAACACTTCTTTTCAAAATCATGTACTATATATCTCTAAAGGATTATTTCGCTATAAAAACTCTAGATTTTGTCGATGCACACGTTGAAATAAACATTTTGAAAACATCCGAATTTGAATATTTTCTGAACAATTTTTTTGTTATTGAAAGGAAAACACATACATAAACAAATAAAGATGACATATTAAGCCAAGAAAATAAAAAAATTGAAATCATATGGAAGTTCTGCCCTACCTTGAATTCATTGTACCACGAATTTTACCATGTTGTAAACAAACAAACAAAATAATATTCCTAGTTTCCCAGTGATTGTGTTCAATTTATTTGTATTTAAAAAAAAATAAAAAATGAATATTTCTGTTGTCCTATATTTTATGGATGATGTGGAGGAGGATAATAGAATTTGGACATGCATTCTAAGAAGATTATCAAAAGTAGAAATATTTTAAAGAGTTATATTCAGTATATTACTCTACACAAACGGTTGTTAACTCTTTAAAATGAAGAATAATATAAACTCTCATATAAGATAAACTATATTAAACTATTGAACTTACTTTTGACAAATTTATCCATACCATAGTATGGATGGTATATTAAGTTTGTCATTCCTTTTGTAACACCTTAAAATATACATTTTAGACCCTACAAAAAACCTCCCTATATTCGGTATCTTGATGATTGTAGCTACATTATTTTCCGGAATTGTTTTAAATATCTTTTTTGAAGTTCGCTATATGTACTGTATGGCCCACATATAACTGTATCTCCCGATATTCGGTATTTTGATGATATTAGCGACATTACTCACCGGAATCGTTTTAAATTTTGTATACATACTTACTTGACTCCTTTTCAGAAATGGGTAAATAGATTCCAAATTTTCGAAACGATTTTCTCCAAAAAAAAGAAACAATTAATTTTGTTGGGTTTAGGGTCAATATTTTAAGTTCAAAACAAAAATTATAATTTTTCTTCCAATGCACTGTTAAAGGTTCGATCGAGGCAAGATCGACTCGACCATTTGCATGGTGTTCTCGAAAAAAGCAGTATGTCGACGATGACAGCGAACCATGTCATCGACATAATTGTGTGTCATTTGCGTACGTGTGTCAAATTTGAGTGTGTATGTGTGCGTGACTAAGACAGTTAGGTACAAAAGAAAGATCAATACGTGACATTAATATTTTAAAATAATTTCGGGCATATGGGCACCGCGACTGTTCTTTACGAAGTGCATTCTGAACGTCCAATTTTTGGCCACTTTTTCGAGCACTGCTGGCCGTATGTCACGAATAACACGAACAATGCTGCTGCCTCCAAGGCGTCAATTGTTGCTAGTTTATCAGCATAAACCAGTGACTTCACGTAGCCCCACAGGAAATAATCGAGAGGAGTCAAATCGCAGGACCTTGGAGGCCAATTGACAGGTCCACTTCTCGAAATTAAAGCCAAATTTTGATTTCAAAAAGTCGATGGTTGCATGGCACGCAAAAGTCGATGGTTGCATAGCACCATACGGTGCGTTTTTATGGATGTAATGGAGCCTGTATCAATTTTGCTTATTAACAAATCCGTTAAGCCGAAAATGCACCTCATCGCTGAACACAATTTTGAGATAAAACAACGGCTCATTTGCCAACTGTTCTAGAGCCAAATCGGCGAAAGAACGATGCATATATAGTATTTTCAGATTAAATGAAACTTTTTGCAGCGAGAATGAAACCTTTTGCAGCGGAAATGAAACCTTTTGCAACAGAAATGAAACTTTTTGCAAATCAAATTAAACTTTTAAATTTATAGAAGGAAAAATAACAAAACATTTTTATTTTTAGTTTTTAAATTAAATCAATTAATTATAACTAATATATTGACAAAGAGGATTTTTTATTGATTATAAATATCTACATTTATTTATATTATTTCTTAAATTTTCAATTATTGTAATAACAAATGGTTCTTTATTGATTTGATATAAAATGCTTCCGTATTATTAAATTCCAAATGCTTAACGCTAAAAAGAGAAATTTAAACAAATTTTGGCCTTTATAGGTATGGGCAGGACTGAAATGCGAAATTAAGCTTTACTGCAATATTTTATAGTTAAAGTATACTATTAATCTTACCTAATAAAGGATTCCTGCTTCGCAGCTTTATTAATTATGGAGATTATGGATTTCAATACCAAACATCCTAGACACAATACAATGTTGTACCAATTTTCGAAGCTCTTCATCAAATCTCAATATCATGATTTCAATAGACAGACGGGAGGACATCATTAAATCAACTTCGATCATGACTGTATATACTTTATGGGATCTACGACGAATATTTAGAATATCAGAATATTAGAATATTAGAAATACGAATATTTAATCTTTCATGTGACACGAGAGACGCAATCAACTCTATTTGTATTTTTATTCTTCCTTTCTTGTCTTCCCTATTTCTTATCGTTGTGAGAAAGTCAAATAAAAACACATCTTTATTCAATGCCCACAATTAATTACCACTTGTTGGAGCGACAAAAGAAATTCCCACAAAATAAACAAACACACACAAACATAGATTTTTTTGAGGGGGGGAAAAGAAGGTGTGATTTTCCATTCATAGGTTTTTGAAAATAATTTGTCAGAAAATCGAAACCGTTATTTGTACAAATCGCATCGCCCATGATGTCTTATTTAAACAAATATATTTATTCACCGGTTGGTCAGTCGGCAAGGCACAAAACTCAATTCCACCTAAGGCACGAGTCAAACGCTGATGAAAAATGTAAACTTCCTTAAGGTGTTTCAAGTTTTAAAAAAATCAGAAAAGAAAACAAATATTGTCTTTGGAAAATTAATGAATGTTAGAACATTTGTCGTGGAAAACTAATCTGTGGGACGGTAATTTATGCAGAATAACCAAAATTACAAATATCGTTAGGGCGGTATTTTATACAGTTTATTTAGATTTTTATATTGAAATATAGAATTGTAACCGGAACGCTATTAATCACAATTTTTTCATCAATGAAACTACAGTGAAAATAATTGAGTGAAAGTTAAAATGTTATTAATGGCATTGCTGTTGCAGAACAAAAGACTTAAGACACAAACTCCACTAGAGTTTGAAAAACAAGTTGAAAGGGAAAGAGAATGAGGATTAATTGTTCAAATAATTCAAATATTCGAGAAAAGAAAATGAAATTGTATCCATAATATAATGTAAACCAGTAAAGAAGGTTTTAAAGTCGGGCGGGCCGACTTTATGATACCCTACACCACTTTGCCAATTTAGTAGAGCTCCACAAAACAATTAAAAGTTTTTATGGGAGAATTCAATCATACACGCTATGATTATAATTATAATTTAAAGTTCAAAGGACTAAATATGCAGAAGCATTTGTATCTTTTAAATTCGGAGTTGTATTGCCCATTTGGTGCACAATTAATTTGAAATCGGATAAAGATATATATGGGAGCTATATACAAATCTGAACCGATCTCGATAAATTTTGGTAAAGATATTTCTGAACTGTATTTGATATATTTCCCTGAATATCGTTGTTACGGAGTGCATATTACGGCTGTGGGTAACAAATACAACAAATCAGATGAACAATATATATGGGAGCTATAGCTATATCTGAACCGATCTTCACCAAATTTGATATATTAGCTTCTAGACTCAATTCGGTCGTAAGTGCCAAATTCCATCCCATTTGGACAAATATTAGACGTTTGGTGCACAATAAAAGGTAAATCGGCCGAAGTTATATATGGGAGCTATATCCAAATCTGATCCGATCTCGATAAAATTTTGCAAATGTATTTCTGAGCTGTATTTGATATATTTCCTCAAATATTTTTGTGCATATTACGGCTGCGGAGGACAAAAATAACAAATCGGATGAACAATATATATGGGAGCTATAGCTATATCTGAACCGATTTCGATCAAATTTGGCATACTTTTATTCAGGTCTAATTTGGGTCTATATGCAAAATTCCATACAATTCGGGCTGATATTACAGGTTTGGTGCACAAAAAAAAAAACAAATCGGACGAGGATATATATGGGAGCTATATCTAAATTCTGACCGATTATCTCCAATTTCAATAGGGTTCGTCCTTGGGCCAAACAAATGATCTGTGCAAAATTTCATCTGGATCGGGCAATAAATGCGACCTGTACTTTGTTTACAAAAATACATGGACAGACGGATGGACGGACATACATAAATCGACTCAGAATGTGATTCTATGCAGATCATCAAAAGGAACTATGGGTCTATCTCGTTTCCTTTTGCCTGTTACAAACAAATGCACAAAGACATAATATAATAAGACCACCTTGTGGTGTAGGATATAAAAATGTGGTTTCTATTTAGCAAAATTTACCGAAGAAATAGTCTATACCCCCACGAGGGAAGAGAATTATAAATTAGCCCTTCCGTTACATAAGCGATTTTCCAGAAAGTGTAAACAAATGAAAAATTTTGCGAGATAATTTTTCTAAAGTAATGGCACCAATTTCCAAGTCTGATATACTACCTTGTTTGCAAGAATTTATCTAATTGAGCTTTTAGATTAGCCTCTCACGTATTTTGAGATTTTGCATATCCCAAGCGAATAAGCTGTGTAATATGAATTTATAAGAACTTTACAAATAGATACATCACCCATATAAATGGGGATAAAATAAGAATTCTTTATTTGGTACATCCCCTGCGTAATATGAGATTTTCCGTGCAGAGGGATATTTTTAAATGCTCAGCTATATCATTGGTATACCGCTGTTCATTTATGTTTTTCACGAAAATATATAATTGAGGATGGAAGTAATGAGGAGAGAAAATTAAATTGATGTTTATCAGGCATGTCACAGAATGTAAAATCGTTCAAGAGTGAAAACGAAAACGGTTTTAGCTTCTCTAAAAAACGGAAAACGCAAAAATTTTGCGTTTTGATATCACTTTCAAAAAGCAGGGTGAAATTGAAATGTTTAGTGATTTTAACGTAAAAAATAAACAGAAGACACATACATTTAACAGAAAATATTGTATTAACCAAATTCTCTTAGAATGAACATGTTTTTGGAATTTATTTTACAAAAAATCTATTATTTTTCTAATCCATGATGAAAACGCAAAAAAATATGCAGAAATGAACGGCAGACTTGTATTGTTGAATTATTGCCATATGTGTTGAAGAAGAAGGTGTAGAAATGTACAACTGACTTTCTTTTTTCTTCGGAAGACATTCTTAATTTGATCCAATGTGGACAAATTTCAGCTTCAATTGCATTAATAACTCTCAACATAATTGTAGAAACTGTACTTCTCCCAAGGCTTAGCTCCACATCTCTACCTATAACTCCTTGAAATGCACCCGTAGCCAAAAACCTAAGCGCTGTTGCAAGCTGGATAATAGCCGGTATATTGGAACGTTTGAGGTGGGGAGAAAACTAAAACAAAAGCTTCTTTATTTAGCCGATAATAAGTTATAAACCTGTAGAAATAAATTATTATTAAAATAAATTTGAAAATAACTCATTGCTGGTGGATCCTTACTCTGCATTTGAGTGAGATAAAGGATCTGATGCGTTCCTCAATGTCCGGCGACGAATTTTTTCAGTAGACCGCTGATTTATTTCTTCATCCATTACAGCAAGTATTGAAGCCCCTGGCATTTTTACTTTTGGTGTTTATATTATAAAAAACAATTTAAACTCCTTTTTTAATTGTCAATAATTTGTTTACGACTTTTTTTTTTTCATGGAGTTACCATATTTTTATTTCAAAAATGTGAAATGATTTTTTTTCCGGAATAGTCAAAACGTACGAGTGCTGAAGAAGCAAAAGCAAATCGTAACGATTTGGAAAAGGTGAAATAAATCGATTTCGTAAAACTTCTGTGACATGCCTGTATATCTTTACTCCATGTGAAAAACATAATTATGGCTCATAAGGTTTTGTTAGGAACTCAAATTACCACATTTTAGCTTATTCATCTGGTCTTGAAATACCCAGAACCTCAAACCACATTAAACACCCGCGATGACCGGTTCCATGCACCGGATGGACTCGGAGGAACAGCTCTCCGACCAGGGGCCGTGAACCCAGCAACATTACCTGGAATGCTTGCTCCGGTTTGCTCTTGGTCCGAGTCGGGATTGAGACCACAGAACAATAGTTTTGCTCCGTTTGTCGTAACCGCATTCAACACAGATCGGTCTCGGTGAGATGCAACGCATGATAAGGACTACATTGCTTTCTGCTGCACCACCCTTGTCGTCTACGTCTTCGGGAGACGAAGCTGAGTATAACTTGCAGGCTTCAAAGTTGTGATGGATACAACGTACTGAGGAAGGATGGCACCATTAACTCTCCTATTATACCACTCTGTCCAGTACAGACCTATCTCGCCCGAGCTTGTTTCTAGTGACCTATTCTGGGTCAAGTGCAGAACCGCCTAGGTGCTTAACATCTATATTGTACCCTTAATAGCTGTGCCCCGCATTATCATCAGTTCAATCCTGGTAGGCAATAACCAATTTTGCTTTCATTCAATAAATGAAATAGAAGAATAAGTTTAAATTTGTTCAAATTGGTCACCTTTGGCACGAATTATGGCCTTCAAAACGCTACCCGAATATTGCTCTGCGGCATTTTTACCCATTCCGTCGAAGCGTTTGCTTGAGGTGATTTACACTTTGGTATATTTAGTGCCAACCTTTCCAAAATGAATTCGCTGGAAATGAAGCGAGGAACCTAATTTTGTAACTATTCTTGGGTGGCGCTTGCTGAGTGTGACGGTGCTGAGTCCTGTTGGAATGTCTAAGGTCTGCGGCCAAAATATTTGCGTGCCCAAGGCTTTAATACACCCTCCAGAATATTTATTCTGATGCCACGGCCGATTAATACAAGCTGAGAGCGATCATCGGCTGTTATGGCGGTCCACACCATCACCATGGCCGGCGCTTGAGTTCTGGTGGCCAACCGAAGGTGCACATTTTCAGCTGACCTCTTTGTCAAGTAAACACGATCGTTTTGTTTGTTTACAAACTGCTGAACAACGAATGTTTTCTCATCGGAGAAAACCAAATTCGGCAGTTCACCACTTTCGGCCAGGCGAAGCAACTCTTTAGCATCTCCGCAGACCATGTGGTAAAGAGTGTGGCCGTTGATTTTGTGCCAGATTTTTTTATATTCCTCACGTGGAAGTATGCGGCAAGCTCCGCGAGATTGGGGTTCAGCCTTTCGCATATGTCATCGACCACTGGGCCCGACGCCAGGATCGTACAATCATCCGGATACGTCTGGAGGGCGAGGAATTCCGGAAAGGTAGAGATTAAACAGTTCCGGAGATATCACCCCAAATTGGGGAACTCCCTGTTTCACTCTACCGGCTTTGGACTACTTGTTCCGGAATTCCACGTACGACTGGCGTCCACACATACAGTTGATTATCCAACGTTTTAAACTTGGCTGGAGGGTGGTTCTCTGCACGTCCTCAAACAGAATGGCATGATTGACCTTATAAAATGCCTTTGATAGGTTAAGGGCTATGAACACTGTTCTGTCACACGGATTGTTCTTGTTCTGTCCTCTACTAATATGTGTGGAAATGCTGTGTAATGCTGTTGTGGTACTATGTTGTGGACGGAATCCGTGATGGTGGTTGGCAACTGTATAGCTTCCTCTAATGCTGGGGAGGAGTAAAGCCTCAAGCGTCTTGGCTACTGGCGACAAAAGCGAAATCGGCCTGTACGATTCGCCTTTACTGGCATCCTTGCCTGGCTTCAGTTGCAAGACCACCCGGCCCATTTTCCAGGTTTTGGGCACTATGTGGGTGGCCATCGTAAACTGTGGTGATTCCTTCTCGGCGGGGAGAGATCTGATACGATGTAGTACTCTTCTCTTTGCCCTGTGGCTCTCGGGGTGCTCGACAACTTGTCAGTTAAAATCATCCGCGCACCTCTTCGGATCAGTCACCGTTACGTCGTTAAAAGTGACTGAGGTCTTATCATCCTTTTTCTCCAGGGTTCGGGAGTGATTTAACCGTTACCCACAGCATACTCATATCGGTTCCAATGTTTCAACACTTCAAATGATTACTTTTTCCTCTTATGCTCCCGTACCAGCCGGTTGACTTCCACTGTCAAATCACTGATTCTAGGATCAGTAGGGTTGGTACGACGGAGATCATCATGCTCGTTTGCTAATCCCGCTGCCACTCCTGGGAAGTTTGGTCTTATCTCGGGTATTCGACCAGCAGGTATATAGCGAGCGGCTGCAGCTTTGATGATGTTTCGGAAAATCCTTTCTGCTACCCGAACATCAGAAGGGTTGGGCAGTTCTCTGAAGCGGCGGTTGGTGAATTCTCTGAACTCTGGCCAGTGAGCTTTCCCATGGTTAAGGAAAGTGCGGCGTTCAGAGGTTATGAAATCGGGCGACCTGCTTATGGAGACGATTATCGGGAGATGGTCTGAGCCAAGAGAAATGACGGGTTGCCAAGTCACGTCATTTATCAGACCGGGTGACACTATGGTTAAGTCTGGCGAACTGTGACACTCTCCTCTTCTCACCAAAATGCTTTTGTACGCTTGTAAACAATATAATAAGCTGTCACTGGAATAATTTTAACAGCTGTCGGACGAGTGGCTTAGAAATGACAGCAGTCTTAAGTTGGTTGCAGTTTTTTTTTCATTTCATCCTGTATAAAGGTTTCATCGAATATTCGGCATTTAGACGATTTAAGCCATAGATTTGTGTGAAATTCGTTATCATAATGGGTTCTACAACCGACGTCAAAATATTGTCCCTATCGGTCCTTGTCACACTTCTCACATTTACCCACGAAATTATGTAAAATTTGGCATTTAAGACTTGCAATAGATTTCTATTTTTGTAGTACAAAATTTGTCTATATAGGCTCTAGTTTTAGTATGGCCCCCAAATAACGGCTACAACCATTCTCCTACTGATCTTACTGCAGTTTGTAGTTTAAAGTGGAACACGTTTGAATCCAGATACTTTGGCATATAAATGTTTTCTTTACCCAATAGTGGAGGGTATTAGAAGTTTGGCCCGGCCGGACTTAATTTCTATTTACTTATCATAATTTGAACCCTGCTATTATGTTTTTATTTGAGATTGTGTGCTTTGTGTGGGTTCCTTTTGAAAGGTTGAGGTTCTGGCGATACATGGCCAACGCGGTGAGAAAACCACAAAAGACTTAAGACACATACACCTGTCAGTGTCGAAGATCAATCATTTTTGTCTTTCAGATTCCACTTTCCCATTTAAGATATATTATTAATAGCTATTCGATAATTTCCAAAATAGGACATTAAGACATTTAATTTTCTCTAATCATTGGCATTTTCTTAGAATTCAATTAATCAAACAAAAGACTTAAGACACGAACAGGGTCTAATCAAAAATTCCATGGGAAAATTTTCAAAAAAAAAAATTGACTTTCACTTAGAATTTTAATTGACTTTCCAAATTCTTCTCCTCAAATTAACGCCGAAGTCATTTTTTGATTAACTGGATATTTTTCAATTAAGAAACGCTTCAGCTAAATTAATGTCCACCTCGAAATTTCGAATAACATGTCCAAACGAATGATTGATTTCATTCGTCTAAAGGTGGTATGGGTTTTGAATCAAACTCTTGGAAAATCTATCTTAGCATGCCAGTAGTGCAGTCAACCATCAATTGGAACGTCTTTTCCGATAGCTGGCAACGACGTTACATAATTCTAAGCTAAGATATGAAAATGCTAAAATTTAAATATCGTCCATTCAATTTTGTTTTTTTTGTTTTTTCAAATATTGGCCAATGTTGGACTTTTAGTCTCTAAATAATTGAGGCGAAAAATACGAAACCACCAGCCAAGCATTGTCTTCAAGTGGAACATAGTTCGTGGTGAGTGCATGTTCAAGTGTAATTAAAAAAGCATAACAAAGTTTTTATAATTACCTGGTTTTCGTTGTTGTTGTATGGGAATGCATTTTCTTTCAGACTTCCCCAGACTGACACGTTTCGAACATGTGTGCGTGTGTGTAAACAATAATATCCACGAAGCGCCACATCCCACAGAGTGGGGAGGATTTTCTTAAAAGCTACCGTAACTTGGATTGATGGATTTGTTTCGTTTTCTTCTTCTTCTTCTCTATCTTCTTTGGAGGTGGTCATGGACATTTCGGGGTTTGTAAGATAACATTTTAACACAGATTTATCTGGGCTATGTGAAAGCATTTTAACATCTGTCAAAACTATTATTAATCAAAACAAAGAAAAGTTAATTTTGGAATGCTGCCCTCCCTCTACAACTCAGCTGGTTGGTAAGTATAGTTCGAGAGTAAAATAAATGAGCCAAGAAATGCCCTTTGCTCTACGAGGTTACGCTGAAAATGTTGGGGAAATTGGAGATATTCTTAAGTTTGTGTGTGGCATCTCGCTTCAATTTTGTTGTTGTTGTGGTTGCATAGGCAGGTGCACCTACAACATACCAAAGGAACATGATGCATATTTGAAACATACTTTCGTGGAAGAACTTTTTTCAAATCTGGAAGCAAAAGGGTCGGCGTTGTAGTCTTGGCATGTATCTTAAAACATTTTCTTTGGTTTTATCCACCTGATGCCAATGGAACTGAATTTCTTATTTATACCCTACAAAACTAATTTTGACTAGACCAAAAATTATGTAACACCTCGAAATATCTATCTCGCCGATCTAAGTCGATCTAGCCATGTATGTCCGTCCGTCCGTCTGTCCATGTTAATTTGTAATCACTCTACAGGTCGCAATTATGGACCGATCTTCACTAAATTTTGAATGGAGGTGGGCCTAGAGCCAGAACTTTTAGAGATGATCGCATAATATTTAGGGACCAAAAATTGAAAAATTTCCTGA